AGGTGAGATCATTCAGCCTCCAATGATATCTCACAATCTATCCTCATTGGGAGTCCAACATTCTCACTGACATACGATGTGTTTGGCTCTAATACCATTTGTAATAGCCTAAGCGCACTACTAACAAATATTGTCCACTCTGCCCCATTACGTATCATTGTTTGAAACTCACCCCGTACTTGCAAACTCTTCTTAACTCACCGAATTTACTTACTCTTCTTTTACATGAGATACCAAATGCAAATTGGAATAAACACTAGAAACAAATTATCTCGTTGCAAAATCTGGTAGGTGTCTGTGAAAATCAAAGATTAACTTTTAGAGTTAAACTCAAATTCAACAAGATGAAAATGGGGAACGAACTAATGGGCACTAGAGTTGGAATCAACACAATAGTGAAGTCAACAAAATTGTCAAATGAGCGACAAGCTGAATTTTTCTCACACTTGTCGTTACCGATGAAAACAACAAAAATGGGAGAACCCAAGAGTCTATTTATTTGTGTGTGGGTCTCACTTTATAAAGTTCAGTTTATTTAGAATGAGTAAGTTATTTTGTGATATGTAAAAAAGAAACAATCAAATATCTGTCATAGAGTAATACATGAATTTGAGCATGTGTGAAAAACGTGTATAGTGGGATTGAAATAAAAACTTAATAGATGGTGTAAATTGATATAATTATTTACGTGTAAGGATTAAATTGATTAAATTTAAAATTTATTCATTTTACCAAGTTTAAATTGGAATTTGAAAATTTAGGTTAAAATTGTCACAACTAATTTACAGTTTTAGTCAGTGGCAATTTTGAAAATAAAAGCAAATCTGCTTTGCTTTTCTCAAAATGAAACCCTAGGTTTACCGGAACGCAAAACCTTATTTCTTATCGCGCCTCTCTGTTTGGCGCCGCAGCCCCTATAAATTTAAAACCCCAAACAACCTTTCCTCACTTCGCCCGTGTTTGTTCTAAAACCCTAGCGGAAACTAAGCTCCTTCTCTCGCTCTCTCGCTCTCTCGGTGACTGCAATGAGACCTCCACGAGGTATGAACTAGAAAGAAGCTGAACTTGTGCTCCTTGTTCTTTCTCTATTCTTGTTTTTGGGTGAAAAAGATCTGCTGGCTTCAATGGAGAATGCTGTGTTAACTCAATTTATTGGTTGTCTGCTTGTTCCGATGTTCGAATGAGTTTGACCGCTTCCATTCCTAATACCCACTGAATCTGCTTCCATATAATATCGTTTATCGGTTGTTTGATAGTTGGTTTCCTCTCTTTAGTGTTATTTAGTTCTCATGTACTTTCTTTCTTTTACTTAAATTATTTGTTTCCTAGCGTCTCCATTACTACGCATCGATCATTAAACTGGGTAAGTTGGATGTGTGCAGGCCGCGGTGGTGGTGGTGGGTTTAGGGGCAGGGGTGATGGAGGACGAGGTGGTAGAGGCAGAGGTGGCGGTGGAGGCAGAGGCGGCGGTGGAGGAAGAGGTATGAGCCGTGGAGGTGGTCGCGGAGGTGGAAGAGGCCGTGGTGGAGGAAGAGGAGGTGGTATGAAGGGTGGAAGCAAAGTTGTTGTTGAACCTCATAGACATGAGGGTATTTTCATAGCCAAGGGCAAAGAAGATGCTCTTGTGACGAAGAATATGGTTTCTGGAGAATCTGTCTACAACGAGAAGAGGATATCCGTACAGGTGATTCGCGTTTAACAGTAATTTTATACCTGAATGTGTGTTAGGTTTCAATATACATTTTATTGAAGTCGATGGATACCATGTTTTTTCTGGATAACTTCGATGATGTGTTTTTGATATTTAATTATACTTCAAAAATTCTAGTTAGTAATCGTATCTCCCAACAGTTTTGGATGGTTCAGGCACGTCAGTCAGTGCTTGTATATGTTTTTTATACATTAACTGTTTATGTAAGTCTAACATAACTTCCGATGCCTGCAAGTTTTGTCAGCATAAAGAACTATTTGTTCCTTCTGTTTGCAATGTGCCTGCAAAGCTAATTATTTTGTATATATTGCCATTCAGAATGAAGATGGAACAAAAGTTGAATACAGAGTTTGGAACCCATTCAGGTCTAAGTTGGCTGCTGCCGTTCTTGGTGGTGTTGATGACATTTGGATTGTTAGTGCCTTTCATATTCAATTTGACGTTGGACTTTTTAATCTGTCTCAACCTTTAGTGTTCCTTTCCGTGTCTCTCTTGCTAAATAGTTCGCTTACTCTTGTATTATAGAAACCTGGTGCTCGAGTTTTGTATCTTGGGGCTGCTTCGGGAACAACTGTATCTCATGTTTCAGATGTTGTTGGCCCGGTGAGTAATTATCTCGAGAGGCATCTTGTAGTTTTCTTAAATTAATAGAGTTCTTAACAAATGTTGCTGCTTTTATTTTTCAGACTGGTATTGTATATGCCGTCGAATTCTCCCATAGAAGTGGTAGAGATTTAGTTAACATGGCAAAGAAGCGCACAAATGTTATACCCATCATTGAAGATGCTAGACACCCAGCCAAATATCGAATGTTGGTTGGTATGGTGGATGTGATATTTTCGGATGTTGCTCAGCCAGATCAGGTTCAGACTTTTTCTTTTTCTTGCTTTCCTGTCTGTATTATTCTTTTACGTGCGCATCATCCAACTAACTAACCCTTAAATGGTATTTCAATATTCAATGTGTATTGATTTTCATCTACCGTTTCCCTCTCTACTGTTTTGTTTTCATCACTATTTTTTCATCTATTTAGACTTTAAGCATGTTTCATCTCCATTATTTAGCATATGATGAATTTCTCGGATTCCCCTTCAAGACTTCTTGAATGATGCATAACCCGAGTTTCTGATGCTTGAAGAAATGCTTCCTTTTGAATTGACTTGATCTTTTCTTTCTAAATTGCACTATTTGTCTCATACTGCGGATTTTTTTTTTCTATACTCGTATTGGTTCTGTTTTCCTTTTTTCACTGTTTTTCATCCTGTTATATTTCAAATATATGTTATCATAACAGTGAAGCTTATTTTTATTGTACCTGAACCCTTTCTAGTTAGTTTCTCAAGTTGTGTTTCTTCAGTTTTCTACTCTTTTGAAATATTTTTATTCCAATATTGACATGTCCATTGCCATTTATTTCTGCTTTGATGCTAACCACCTTGTTTACTTTGCGTCTGCTATGTTCCAATATTGACATGTCATCACGTTTATTATGCTATACACATCACGCCTCTTTTTTTTGTTTGGTAGAAGGCCAAGATCTTTGCTGGTTACTTAGATTTCTAAAGGCCATGTTTACAATATTGCTCTATTTATGTTTGGATTTGGATGGTAACTATTTATAAACCATTCTGCTCGATCATTAAGTAAATCAGTATATTACTATTCTATACTATTACTGTTTGCAAATGGTTACCATTTTATACTCAGCCTTAATTCCCCCGAAAATCAATATATTAGTGGAGCATGTTCTTGTGTATTTATGATAATTATCGACTTTGAATTTCCCATAAAAGATGATGATCTACTCTGAAACAGGGGGTGTTTTGGGGTTTATAATCTTTTAAAGTAGAAATTAAAAGTAAAAAAAAAAAAACCCAAATCTGCACTATTTATTTCATCTTTTGGATATGTGGGATATGGTCTCTTAACTTATTTCCGTTGAGCTATTGTACTATCTTTTCATGATGTTTTAACCTTTTTGGCTCTATGTGCTTAGCATGTGATGATTTACTCGGATTCCCCTTCAAGACATCTTGAATGATGCACAACCCGAGTTTCTGATGCGACCAAGAACAATATTATATTTTGTGTCCTTGAACTATTAACTTTCTTACATTTTGGTTTCTTAACCTTTACCTTCTTTAACCTCCCTTCAATACAGGCAAGAATTTTAGCACTTAATGCATCATATTTTCTCAAAGCTGGTGGTCATTTTGTTATATCCATCAAGGTGAGTGAATTATTGCTCTATTATTCCTTAAGACAAAAAGACGGCATAATCCGTGAATGGAGGAAGATAACATATTTCCTATCTAACTTATGCAGGCTAACTGCATCGACTCAACCGTTCCTGCAGAGGCAGTGTTTGCAAGTGAAGTGAATAAGCTAAAAGCAGATCAATTCAAACCCACTGAGCAAGTGACTCTTGAACCATTTGAGCGAGATCATGCTTGTGTCGTTGGTATCTATCGGGCACCAAAGAAACAGAAGGCTGCAGCTTAAACAGTTCAATGAGCCAAGGTTATGAGTCTTATGGTTGATTTATAGGTAGACTGTAGTTTATTATCCGTGTTTCTTATCGTTAGCTTGTAATCGAGATCGAGATGTTTTAAAAAGCCAATACTCAATGTGTATCTTCGATAATTTTGGTGATTAATCGACAGAACTGCAGGTTTTTTTTTTTACTCTCTCTGTTTCATTCCTGTCTGCAAGGAGTATAAGAAAGTCTTTAAATTGTAGGATCCATTTTTAATCGGAACCATTCAAAGCGAACACTCTTCATGCAATTTGCGTTTCAGACGTTGATTAATTTTTTTTATTTATTTATTGAACTATAATATGTTTGTGTATGCATTGTTGGTTGTCTATGAAATTTTCTATTAACTTTGACTATTTATTTAAATTATATCAGATTGGTAGGATTTTCAACCTTGATTATAAGATTAATTCCATAAAATATATATTAACGTAATATATTTCCACTAAATCATTTGAATATTTGTGTGTAACTGAACACAATAATCTTTAATCTTATAATTTAAAAATGAATTACTTTTTTTAATGTTAAAAACAAATCCTAATATTCTGTCAACGGTCGTTTCATCCAAAAAAAAAAAAAAAAAAAAAAAAAAAAAAACCAAGAAAAAGGAAAGAATAAGTTCATGGTAGTAATTTTATAGAGTACTCAAGGGAAGGGTATTAATGTAAAATCACTGAAAGAAAAAAGGAGAAAAGTTACCGTTGGAGACGCGTTGCTGGTATATAAGTACAGTCTCGTTCAAGAACTCCCAATTTTGCAACGAACAAAAACTCTACAAAATCGCTCAAAAGATTTCCACTAGAGATTTGAGGTAGTTGAAATCAAGGAACATTTCGTAAGGGAAAGTTAAATCGTCGCTGTGTTCTCTTCTAACTGTGAGTTTCTCTCTGACTTTTCCATTTCATGCTGTTGTTTTGTCGAGGAACGTGCGAATAGAAGTTTCTTTCGTGGTCGAATCTTGTTTGATTTCTCTTGATTACTGTTTATTTCTGTGTTTAACTGAGAAACAGATGAGCAGCAAGAAATTGATGAAATGTGATGAACAATATTTTAGGGTTTTGTTTGGTCAAATTTTGTTTCTGGAAATTTATTGTCCTGTCTTTTGACCTATGTCCTCGACAGATGATAAAATGAGAAACTGGAGAAATTTCATAATGTTAAGTTAGGCTTGTTCTGTATGTACTCTTTTCTTCCTATAGGAAATTTGATTCTCTGTTTTTGAGATTTGAAATTAGGAAGATTCTCATTACAAATTCAGAACGAAAATTATGAAAAGAGGAAAGATTAACCTTACGAAATCTTCAGTCATAATTCGATTTTAGTTTTGCAACCTTGAAATGAATTTTAGTTTTAATTCTATTCAATTGGATTCTCTGTTATTTGAGTCCTTATAACTGGTCCACATGTAGCATGTAAGCCTTTTGCCTTGAGTTCGTCGCTAAAATTTCACACTCGGTTCCGTTTTCTCATTCGCAGAATATAATATACATTTCTGCAGTATCAACAGCATGGCAATGACATTGCAAAGTGGTGGCCTTACTCAGGATGAGAATCTCAATGTTCGCTATAATGGTTGGAACTTAATTTTCTGTTTGAATTTTTGTGTTGGTTCGTTCTTAATCTATTTGGATGATTTGGTTTAACATTGTAATTTTCATCTCAGGATCCGCCGTTGCAGGGAAGGCTAATGCCATGAATTCACAAAGAAAAAGTGGGCTTAGCGGGCGAAAGCCTCTTGGCGATCTATCAAACTCGAGAAAGCCAGACTTAAACCAGTCATCAAAATGGCAAAACACAAAGAATCTCACGTTTATTGATGAAGAAACTGGTGCAGGCAAAAAGAAAAACATACTCAAGGGCTCTGAGAAGGTGCAGAAGGGAACTCGAAAAGTACTCTCGGATATTTCGAACTCTGGAATGCCAAACCTGCCGGAGGCCTCAAAGAAGAAGCAGAAATTGAAACTGAGCACTGTAAGGGAAGAATCTCTCCATCACAATGCTATTTGTGAGGAACGCTTCCTGCACAACCATCAAGATTGCATTAAATCACAAAATAGCGCTATGGACAAGGATCAATTTCTGAGCATCGTTGGACTTGGTATGGTTCTATCTCGCAAAGCCCATTTTTCTTTGATATTTCTAGTAATTTTTGTTCATATCTTTTGTTTCTTCTTGTTATTTAGATCTTCCCAATGAGTTGATGACATCCACTAGAAGAAAGGTCAGTTTTGATGATATCCCCTTAGTTCTATAGTCCTTGTGGACTTTGGAGCAAAACATAACCAGTTAGCATTTTCTGGGTTTCAGCCTGATAGTCCATTGAAGCTCATGGAAATGGCAGAATTGGCAGTTGTTGATCGATCTCCAAAGAAGTTGTGTCTGTTTGGAAGGGGATGGCCCGCCTCATCGCCGCCTTGCAAATCCCCAAAATCACCCTCAGTGGATACATTTTCTCTCTGGAAGGACACCGATAGTATCAACTTCACATTGATAAAGACCCTATGAGCGCACCAAAGGCCTTTGTTCTCTGTTGATAAAGGAGGGGGTTGTAGATTCCTGGATGCTTAAGATTGTTTAAAATCTAGAGAAGTTGTAGCTGAAGTTTTTCTGTGTTTTGATTTAGATGAAGATTTGTTATCATCTCTAAGATTCTTTTGGGAAAGGTCATCTGAAAAGATTTGTAATGGAACAGATCTTTTTTTGATTGAGAGAAGATTGTTATCATTCCCATATATAAATAAATTTCTAATTCACAATTCCTCTTTCGTTTTAAAACGCGTCAAAATGAAGAAGAGAGCGAGACATTCTTGATAAGGGTTTAGAAACTTCTAACTTAGCAGACGCGTTTTACAATTGTGAGACTGACAGTTATATTTAACGAGATAGTATCTTTTAGCGAGTTTTGGGCTGTTACAAATAATATTAGAGTTAGTCATCTCGAAGAAAGATAGTGATAAACCTGAAGATCGTTCTTAGTGCGGCTCTGCTTCTTGTTTAAAAGCAAGTCTTCAAACTGCAGGGATAAAGCTCTAGACTTGATGGAAATTCACTTTCTGGGACATTTAGGTTAGTGCTTACTTTTTATGATTAACAACAAACACCAACGTTAACATTTTCAGCATATGTTGTCTGGTTAGCTGCCAAAAGATATTCATGTTCATCGTTTTTGCATAGACAAAGATGAATTGAGAGTTCAAGAAGAAATGTATTTAGTATACGTTGGCGTACTTGAATGAGAATACAAGAACATAAGCTTTTTTTACTTCACAATCCAACACGTTCATATACGGTATTGACACAGGTTTGAATTTTAAATTCAGCAATGTTCTTCCAAGTTTTTACCAGGTGAAACTCATAGCATGAAAATTTAGATTATCTCCATAAGCAGTTGAACAGATTTTCGCTACGTCATGGCGCATCCCCATCGGGCCGCTGACCAAAACTCCGATATCCGATCCTTTACAGTCCAGAAGAATTCCTGCATTACAAAACATGTTACCATATTGATGTTGGTTGCTGTTTATGTCGAGGATTGTTGAGCCTTGATTAATGTAAGGAATAATCACGAGTTTATAAGTAAAGAATAAATCTCCATTGGTACGAATCTTTGGGAAGCTCAAAGTAAAGCCATGAGAGCTTATGCTCAAAGTGGACAATATCATGTCACTGTGGAGAGTCGTGGTTCTTAACCGTTTATGTATGTGTGCGTGCTTTTGGTTAATACAAAGGTAGGAAAGCTTACTCTTGAGATCAGGCCTGCCCCCATAATGGATGTTGGTTGCTTGAACAAGGGGTTGGTAGGGAAGGCTCTCAAGCTCTCTTTCACCTCCAAAGATCCATGACCCGGGTGATGCTTTTGGGGATTGAACATTAAGAACTTGGACTTGTTTGTTTGAAACATATGTTTTCCTTTGCCACATAAGGACCAAGCTAGAACATATGCAAATACAAGCAAGTGAAAGGAACATGTCCCAAAGAACCTTGTAGGTGTAATTGTAAACAGCGTCACCATTTCGTTCGATCGGGTAAATGTAGTAACGAGTAATGATACCTAAAAGAATCAAGAACATCACAAATGAAGACGAGATGACTGTGCCGAGTAGCAGCCAATTGTTTGGTCCAAGAGCCTCTGACACTGGTGAGTCCATTGGATTTGGCTTAAACCATATTGTGTTTATAAGATTTTCCTCATTTGTTTGTGGCTGTTCTTCCTCTCTGGTGATATAAGCATCAATCTGTAATGGTACATTAGAAATCTCTGTTTGTGTGCTAGATACTGGAAGCAAGAGATCCAACATGGTGAGATCAATGGAGTTCTTGAAGGCGCATACGAGGCGCACTTGTGGAACATGGCAGTTCGGTTTCGTGCTTCGAACGATCATAATCTCTCGGATTATCGAAATGAACGGAGTAATCCCGCTTCCTCCGCTTATCAGGAGCAAAGATTCATGCCTGATAAAACATCAATCAAATTCAAGTAAACTCCACTAATTCAAGGATTTTTTGGCTTTTAGGGAAGGGAATCACCTTAAAAAGCGAGTAGAAGCTGGCCCATATGGACCTTCAACAGAAACTTGAAGATGATCCAGAGAAGAAGAAAGTTGCTGGTGAAGTTTTGAAGTCCAGCTCCCCCCTACTTTTATAGCAACACTGATTATATCAGGCTCCAATTTGCTGTTGGAAGTGATTGTAAAAGGATGCCATTGCAGTTTGGAAATGGTTGGCACATTTAAGAACATCACACTTGTTGGGCTGTAGCTTAGTTCTGATCAGAAAAGGGTTAAAATCCAATCAAATATTCAGCTGAAGAGAAAGAACAAGAAGAGTTTCAATGATCAGTTCATATAGAAACTGAACCTGAACTTTTCAAAAGGTTTAGTTCGACGGCACCACAAGGAAGATGGCGAGCGGAAACCAGGCTTACGCGTCGTTGCGATTGTAAGAATCGTAAGAATCGATCAATTGCGAAGAGAAACATTCCAGGAAGAATCAAGCATACATATGCTGCTCCGACATGGATTAGATAGAAGACGGTGTAGAGCGTGTAAAAATGGTGACTGTAAAAGAAAACTTCAAACATTTTTCGACGAATCGAACGGAAACTTGTCACCCAGATAACTGTGGCGAATGCCATGGCTATCAGTCCAGCTATATTTGATACATAGTCTTCACTCCATTCTATCAACTGATCATAATGATGCATATTCAGTTAGTATTGATTTTGAACAATACATTGAAGCAATGTACCAATAGAAATTTACTTGGTTCTTGCTTTGGAGTTGAGTTTTTTTGTTGTAGCTAAGAACAAGCTTAACAAATCATATGTTTAGATGGAAACAATCAAATACGTGGCTACGAACAACCTTATAAAACGATCAACCTAGTAAAGGCCAATAAAGTTTATACCTACTCTGGAGATGGAAATACCCACATTAATAGCAGGTCTGATTCCAGCATTGAATAGATCCGCAGATAAGAATATTTGTCTATCGGTAATGGAAATTACATTAGTAGGAATATAAACTGAAACATCTAATTAAAGCATAGTTCAGTGGATAATACGAACATTGATGATTCAATCTCTTGTTAGTAAAACTAGGCGAAAGACTCCCGTTAGAAAGAATCATATAACAACCCAAGTGCATCGCTAGCAGATATCGTCCCCAAGCTCTTTCCTTTTGGGTTTCCCTCAAGGTTTTTAAAACGCGTCTAATGGGAGAGGTTTTCACATCCTTACAAGGAATCGGGATCTCACAATCCACCCCCTTGGGGGTCAACGAGATGTATGGCTGATTTTTAAAATGTATCTACTAGAGAGAGGTTTCCACACTCTTATAACTAATGCTTAGTTCCCCTCTCCAACCAATGTGGGATCTCACAATCCACCCCCTTGGTGACCCAATGTCCTCGCTGGCACGCAACCTGTTTTCCTCTCCAACCAATATGAGATCTTGAAATCCACTCTTCTTGTGGGGCCAGCATCCTCACTGGCACACCGCCTTGTGTCTGACGCGTCTATTAGAGAGATGTTTCTATACACATTTTATAAGAAATGTTTTGTTCCCCTCGTATGATGGAAAAGTGAAAAGACTATAACGACAGATGGTACTAGAATTGGCAGCCGCCATCACTGTTAACCTTATCTTTAGAATCGGAAAATCATCACTTCAAAGGACCAATCACTTTGAAATGCATATAGAGGACAAGGAAAAGATAAGAAATCAAAGTGAAAGTATAATTCTAAGGGATACAGACAATCGGAAGCAGACAAGAGATGAACACCATTCATTTTGTTTCCCCACAAAAGAGTAGAAGAAAAAAAGGATTTACCAAAGCCATTTGATCTGTGATGCCCCAGTAGATGATGAATCCAACGGTGTGTAATGCAAAGAGAAGATTAGAAATGTGGCCAAGCCAGATGTGATACTTGATGGTTGATTCTGAGGTGAGTCCAATTATTGGCAATAATGAAGACCCTCTTGTGACTGGGAAGAACAGAAACGCCCAGCATATATGTCCAATGTACCCAAGTCTCAGCGATACACTTCTAAACTTAGCTTCCCACCTGAACCAAATTGGTTGGGTTCGAACCATCAACTTTTTCATACTTATAACTTCGAAAACTATTCACATTTCAAAATTCATTAAATATTATCTACTTTGGACTTTTCTTTAGGGGAGATTTCTACACCGTAATAAAGAATGCGGAATCTCACAATCTATCCCTTTTGGGGCCAGCTTCCTCACTGGCACACTGTCCTGGTGTCTACTCCCTGCTGGCATACCGTCTGATGTCTACCCCTTCGAGGCTTAGCATCCTAGTTGGTGCACCACACAATTTCTAAAAGTTCTTATTCTAATTTTAGTTCATTTGGATGCGACTAAACCGAGAGTGGTTAAATTTTGAGGGAAAAGAGAAAACATACACTTTCTCGCCAGCTACATGCATGTGAAGATTGCCAAAACTGACATACAAGTAATTTCCAAGAGACCAAATCAAAAGTATAACAAATGCAGCTGCGAACCCAATCTCCAATGTATTAAGAATCCCCAGAGGATTCATTGCCAGAACTGGTCGTTTCAGAAATGAATCTCCTCGGCTCCTACACCAAACCAAAACCCATTTCAAAAACCATTAAAAAACATAAGAATTAATTAAATGGTGAACAACCTTTGGGTAGAAAAGGGTTTAGGATCTTCTGAAGAACTCTTCTGCAATTGGAGATAAAAACAACCCAAAACTGCCATCAACATGACGGGAAATGAGAAAAGCAGAAGATTTGTGCCTGCAAATTCATTGAATCCAAGTTAATTTCAAGCCAAAACAGACCCAAAATCACCAAATATTTGGAAATTTGTGTACCTTGCTCTCTAAAATAAGTGGAGTTGAGGTCCATATTGAGCTTTGGGGTCCAGGTGTTCTTGTAAAGCTTTGTGGGCAACATAATCCAAAGCCACAGCCATAGCACAAAAGTTAACAAGAACACCATCTTCACACCTCTAGCCATTGCCATTTCCTTCGCCATTTGGTACCACTTGTGGGATTTATCCAACTTTGATGCTATATTTATATGCACAAACTAGAACAATTTTGAAGGTTGATGCATATGCTTAATGTCGTCACGGACGGCGTCAGAACAAAATTCTACGTTCTAACTTTTTTATTTTGAGAGACAGTCATAGATTGAATTAACGAACAATTTATGAAAAATTAAAAGAAATAGAAATTGGTTTTAGAAGTAAAACCTGTCCAACAATGTGAAGAAAGAAATGACATGAAACATGCTTATCTACTCTCAAATGAGTAAGGCTTTGAAATGGTGATGATGTTTATAATAAAATGGAGTAATTGGAAAGTCAAAACATTATTGATATGTATTGAACCCACCCTTCCATTTATCATTTCATTTCTTTGATTCATAAGTCAAAACATTTTTTGTTTTTTTCTTCATTTCATTTTAGACCATATGTTATTATTATTATTATTATTATTATTATTAAATGTTTGTTGTGTTTTTGCATCTTATTACGGTTAAAACGTAAATTATTCGTTCCCGAGTAAAAAAAAGAAATTTCAAATACAAATTATTATCCGATTCTGAGTTTCAAAAGTACTCTAGACAAATTTCTAAGCATTACGATTATTAGGGTTCTATGGAATATGTCGTTCAGTATCAAAGTCTTAGTTACAAACAAAGTTAAATAAACTCAAATTAGCGTTGAAATCAACTAAATTTGTTCGTGGCTTACCTTCGAGGTCAAAAATAAACTTATTCGATTAATATAATATATTCCATTGGTTAGATGTATTAGAAACAGATTATATAACAAAAAATCTGGTTGACTATTATATATTTATTAGCTAAGCTGTGGTGGTAGTACATCTGATGAAGCTTTGAGTTGGCTGTCAGTACAATAACAAAGTACAATTCTTCACTTCAAAACATTTTTATCCATAAATTAAACACAATTCTTTTTATAGCTTGGATACAAGCAGTTTAGAATGCTTTGTATAATCTATAATTAGTTTTTTAATTTTAAAAAAATTTACATATAATTTTACCATTTTAACTTACAAATGAATTTTCTATTTCTCAATCTGTTTAATTGATTGAATTGATTGAAGTATACCTCACACTTAATTACTATCTCAAAAATAGTGGTTCAATTTCTGGAATTATTGAACTAAAAATTAAGTTTGCTAATTTTTATTAAAATTAAATCAATTATAATTACAAGTGTTGGACGTACTCTTAGAATCTAATAAATTAGTGCACATGGGATGCTTGCCCTGTAAGTTGCTGACATGAACATTAATAATAAAGAAAATTATCTCCAAATTAATAATTAAAAAAAGTCCATTTAAAAACATGTTGAGATTTAATAGTCAACTTATTGTATGAAGTAGGTTTCATTATTGGAATATCATTAGAGATTAAACTTTTTTTTTCAACTTCTAAAAAAAATCAAATAATTATTGGGCTAAAAATGAAAGACCATCCGAGAAATCCTATATTAACTAAGGAGAAGATTTTTAGTATATAAGTGAGAAACACTATTTTTATGGTCTCACCATGAAGAACTGAGCTCAGCTCGAATTGACATATAACATGCCATTAGATACTCAAGTTGAGCTTTGCCAGCGACCTCCAATGTCCTTTGAGCAAAAATAAGTTGTTCCATTAAATAAGTTACAGGAATTTGGAGAAAAGCAGAGGACTTTATGATCTAAATTTGAATGGTATTACATGTATTTCAAGACCATCATTCCAAATCCAATCCCTAGGAAAGTTGCAATAGCGATTCCAAAAATTCCAGCAAGAATTCCAGGAATAACCATTGAACTCCAACCCTTAGCCGTGGCCATCCCGCAGGCTGTAGTGGGACCTCCGACGTTGGCATTCGATGCTATCAGCAGCAACTTTTGGTCGAAGCGAAGCAGCTTTCCAAGACCAAGGATTATGGCAAGATGGACTGCAATCTGGACAAGAGAAAACAAGAAGATACTTGGCGCAGTGCTGATGACACTCCATACATTTCCACTTGCTCCCACTACAGCAAAGAAAATCTGTTTCCAGACAATGATGAAGGGGTAAAGATCATTACAAATTCAAAAATTTGTGCATAGGCAAAATATAAAGAGTGGAGGAATTGACGTAGCAAGTAATGCAAAAAAGTAACCTGCATTAGAATCATAGCCATAGCCCCACCAGAAGGAGCAAGGTAAGCAAACGGCTTGGGAAAAATGGTTGCTAAGACAACAATGATGGCGGTAATTGCTGGCATGCTACCACCTTGAATTCCAAAATATTTGGTCAGGTAGGAACCAGCTTTACAAATGGCAAACGATACAGCAAGGGCTGTGGCAGATTGTAACACCGGAAGCTTGCTGCTATCCTCAATTTCTGCATCCTTTCCAGCATCTACCCAACACAACTTCCATTAGAGGCCTAATTTGGAAGTATTTCATTATGTAGTTACGAAATCCCTAGTTTATCCTATGAAACTGACCACACACATTACACGTGATAATTCCGACAATTATGGAAAGCTGCAGCAACATATACGGCATTTGCTTTGTTTAATCATTCGCCAAAAATCATGCCTCAGAAAAATATTGAACAACTAGAGATTATACAGGCCAAAACAAGTGGAATTTCATACCCGTCGCATCATTAAATGTCGTTGGTTCAGGAGGTACTTTAGATGCTAAAGCAAACAATGTTGCAAAATACGCTGCACAAATTACATTATCCGCAGCAAGTCCAGCTGCTAATACTGATGAAGAGACACCAAGGGCATCAGATATAGCGACATAATTGACAGCTGCACCCATACAAACAAAGAACAAAACATCTATGAGATGATAGTGAACTGAAGAATAATAGTTCAATGGATCAATGTGTCACTACTTGCAATTGAGACTGCCAAGGTATTCGTATATAACTAGAAGATGAGATGAAGAGAGCATATTACCTCCACCAATATGTCTTCCCATTAGTGCGGCGGCAATTTTCCAACTGTCCTGACCAAGTGATTGCATTGGTACAAGAAAATAGGCCACAACAGTTCCAATTGTTGTTGCAACTATCAAAAGAAAGAGAACAACGGCAAAACTTGTCAAGATGACTCTACGTGGTGTGAGTGAGTGACCAAAAAGAATCTAATGTTTGAAGATAACTTAACAGATTATTAACCAATGTAATTTATTGAATGTCAACCTAATCCAAACATACAAAATATTATCATGAGCATCTGAAGTGCATTAGCAACTTAAAGGTCAGATTATCAAAGAGACGATTTGAGTTTCAGGAATCAAATAATAAACACACGTCTACCCTGTGAACATGCATTCATGAACTGTTCTAATAATCTAATTTGTTAAATTTTTCCCTCAACTTATTTGAATATCTTGGTTAAGAACAGGGCCCAAAGAATATGACATTTCCTGAAGATTCAAGGGAAAAAAAAGGCAAGGTTATAAATTATAAGTAGTTCGAACGATATTTTAGAATTGATCATATTATTCATACTAAGCCATAATGGCTCATACAGAACTAATCAACATGGCATGTAAAACAAGATTTGAGAATCAGAAACTCACAAAGCAATCGTGGAGGTCCTCATGGGGGCCATTACCTGAACCTAACAAAAATGCCAAGAGAAGTGTCCCAGTTGACTTTATTACATTGCGCAAATCTGCCCTAAATAACAGCATAGGAACTGCTAACGGTAGCAAAAACTCCAAAACAAAAGGAAAAGCTGGAGCATCAGATGCAATGATCCCAAAATTACTGGCTGCAAGTCCCACCAATGCGCTCACTAGGGCACCACTTAATGCACTACCAACCTTCGTTTTCTCAGACCTTCAATTTCAAGAAAGCAATAATAAGAAAGAAAATCAACGTGAAAGGAAAAAGACCAGAACTTCAGTTCAGAGTATCGCATATACTCTTAAGAATCAAAACTAAATCCCAACACTGCCAAGTTCTTCTTATGGGTGTACATAGTAACTTGCATCTCCACTAATCTCACACAGAGTCCATGAAATTCTTAAATAGTTTCTTATTTTCCATTTTTCTTTCGTTAAGCTTCAATCTCCCGACATCCTATAGCTCAGTTTGGCTACCAACTCGTTAGAAGGCCATTCTGGCGAAAATTGTGCAAAATTACTCAACTGAGCATTGACTGCACATTGACTGCACATTAATAACATCAAAGACCTTTTCTCAATACAAAACAAAGATTCCATTCAAGAAACGAAATTACAAGTTTGGATCAGAAATCAAACCATAAAACATTGCCTATACGAAATAAACAAGAACCAAAAGCACAAAACAAAGCTGTGAACTGGCTGTTTTCCGGACTTGGAAAGCAATATTAACAATAAAAATTGGGAACCACAAACCTTAATACTCCTACAATGAATTTTAACAAATCATATTAAAATTTACTCTCTCGCGAATTGTATATCTAATTCAATCAGGAATATAATCAATAAAAGTTCAAGAAGCAATGTAAAAGTTCACCAGATACCGAAGGCTCCAACGGAGAATAAAACAGTCCAGTTGCCCCACTGGTCATGCGGAGAAATGAGGGGGAGATTCAATTTCAGATGAGATCTAACAGCAACATTTCGTCTCAGTTGAACATTTCCAGTACTGGTGCCGCAAAAGTTCCAGAATCTTCGGCGTGCACTTTCAGCTGCTGCTGATGACGACGACGACAACGGTTGCACTGGTGGCCGAAGAGCGATCGCGATGCTCCTGGAGATTCTAGCTGAGATTTTGCAGGAAGACAAACATAGAAGCTGTACTTCGGGCGACTTCGAGGCGAGCTGCGACTGTAAGGCCATCTCCGGCGAGGTGGATTGGACGGAGAGAGAACACCAACGATGGACTTCATCACTCAGTAAAATTCAGTGATATAAAATAAAGTTTTTTTTTCTTTTTTTAAACCCTGCGTGTACCGCAATTCAAAAAATACATGCTTTCAATTTTATTTATTTATATAATATATTATTAATTAAAATATTTATTTATTTTACTACATTTTGTGTGATACTTCAAAAATATATATATATCTATATATAAACCTTTTCCTCTAAAATCATTTAGAAAATTACGCCAGACGCACTAATAATTATTTTAAAAGTATTTTAATTTTGATAATGCAACCAAAATAATGGAAAATCAGCTAATTAATACTTATTTTAAAAATGATATAGTTTTAATAATGCAGCCAAACACAAGAAGAAATGTATAAATTATAAGCATATTAATGCCAACATTTTCCACTCTTACTTTTTACTTACTAATATTTTAAGAAATTCAGTCCAGTTTTTTAAATTAAATAAAAAAAAAGTTTTTATTTTTAGAAACGGATTAAAAAAATAAAAAAATCATAATTGAAAAATATATGTAGAAAATAAAAGAATCGAAATAAAAAAAATAAATCATTGTTTTTTAGAAATAATTAAATTATTGTTAAAAGCATATCTTGAAATCTATATGTTTTGTGCCAATCCCACTTGCAAAGTGTAATTTTCCAAAAATGAGTGGAAGTAATGAATGCTGATGTGAAATTTCTATTAAAAATTGTGGAAAAAATAATTATAATTACTCGGTTGAATCAATTTTAACAGCCGTAATTTTTGTTGTTGAAATTAATAAACAAATGAATGGACTTTGAACAATTGCAATATTTATCTAAAATCGGTCAAATTTTATAAATTTGAAAGTTCTTTTTTAAAATGGAGATTAATACATTTTATCTCTATAAATAATAATATAACATGTTTTTTTTTTTTTTTAAGGAATGATTTAATATATTTTTATATAAATATTTATTATTTTTAACACGTTTGACAAATAATTAAGATAAAAGAGACGAATGAATGCTTACACGTATCAAATTAAAACCTTTCCTAACTTTATCTTATTTTATTTTATTTTTTTTTGTTCAATAATTTATTATCATAATTGATGCTTTATCATTTAATTTATTTTTATTTTTAACTAACATACCCGTCACATGAAATTACACTTAAAAATCCTTTGATTGAGTTCTTAAAGAATTTAGGAATTTAATAAATTAATAATTGAATTGCCACGTCACGACATTGTCATACTCGTTCGAGCTTTCAAAAAAATGTCTCATGTTATACTATCCTTTTTGACATATGGTCAAAGTCGACTTACTATTTGGCCCTTCAACTTTCCCATATTTTCATTTTTCACTCCTTACTGTCACTTTGCAAAACATTTCTCTGCAACTCTTGGGCGCCTCCCATGGCGATCTCCAAACTCCTCTTTCTCCTTCTTCTTTTCCTTCCTTTTCTTTCTGCTGATGTTGTTCCCTCTGACATTTACCTTCTCAGCTGCGGATCATCCTCCAATTCCTCCTTCTTTAATCGCGTTTTCGTTGGCGATTCATTAAAACCCGCCCCCGGCTTTCTCGTCGCCGGCCGATCGGTGGCGGTTTCCAACCGGAATCCACCTCCGGATTCTACCTCTTTGTATCACACTGCCAGAGTTTTCACCAGGGCCTCAAGCTACAAATTCAACCTCAAGAAGAACGGTACTCACTTGCTACGGTTCCATCTTTCGCCATTTTCGGCGCTGGAATTCGATTTACATTCTGCAAATTTCACTATCTCGGCCAACGGATTGTTGCTTTCTAATATTTCTCACGTTAACGATTCTGTAATTAAAGAGTTCATCGTGAGAATTGACGCCAACGTGCTTGAAATCGAGTTCGAACCGGTTTCGGGTTTGGGTTTTGGATTCGTGAATGCAATCGAGGTATTTTCAGCCCCTAAAGAACTCATCACCGATAATGGAGCTAAGCTTGTGGATTCTAATGGAGTTCGAGAATATTACAAACTCACATCGCAAGTCTTGGAAACCAAATACAGAATTAACGTTGGGGGTTCCAAATTGACCCCGCTTAACGACAGTCTTTGGAGAACTTGGGTGCCCGATGAGCCTTATCTGGTTATAAAGTCGGCGGCAAAGCTTGCCTCAACTTTTCAGGCTCCGTACTATCAGGCCAGCGGCGCCACTCGGGAGGATGCGCCGGACATTGTTTACATGACGGCGCAACAGATGAACAAGGATATCACAGTTTTGGGTGCGAAATTTAACCTCACCTGGAAGTTTCCATTGGATTCTAATGGCATGAAGTACTTGGTTCGCTTGCATTTCTGTGATATTGTTAGCTTTGCTCTTAATCAGTTGTATTTCAATGTGTATATCAATGGCTATCCTGCATATAGGGACCTGGATTTGTCATCTCTTTCCTCTCGGCTATTAACTCCTTTTTATTTTGATTTCATTGTGGATTCTGATGGTTCTGGAAATATTCAAATAAGTGTTGGACCGTCTGATCTGAGCAGTTCTTTGGGATATAATGCGATCTTAAATGGAGCAGAGATCATGGAGATGGTGAGACCTAGGGGTATGTTTTCAGAAACTGAGAAGAAAAAGAGAAATTCATGGGTCATTGTAGGTCCTATTGTTGGTGGATTCGTTGGTTTATGTCTGGTTTTTGCTGCAATTCTTGCTTTGGTATGCAAGAGGAGAAAGAAACCGACGCCGAGGCGGGCGGAGAGTGCAGGCTGGACTTCGGTTCAGGCATATGCAGGTGGCAGTTCTGATAGTAAATTATCAAGGGGATCAACTCTTGCATCTTTTGGGCCAAATGGATACCACAACTTGAAGATCCCCTTCACTGAAATTCAGTCAGCAACAAACGATTTCGACGAGAGTTTGATCATTGGTTCGGGCGGATTTGGTATGGTTTACAAAGGGGTTCTTAGGGACAATATAAATGTTGCTGTGAAGAGAGGTGTGCCAGGATCACGGCAGGGCCTTCCTGAATTCCACACTGAGATAGCTATCTTGTCCAAGATTCGACATCACCATCTTGTTTCACTTGTTGGATACTGCGAAGAACAGTCAGAAATGATACTGGTTTATGAATATATAGAGAAAGGTCCATTGAAAAAGCAATTGTATGGCTCGGTCGTGTCTCCTTTGTCGTGGAAGCAACGACTCGAAATCTGCATTGGTGCAGCCAGAGGTCTTCACTACCTCCACACTGGTTTTGCACAGGGCATCATCCACCGCGATATCAAGTCGACCAACATTTTACTGGATGAGAGCTTTGTTGCTAAAGTTGCCGATTTTGGTCTTTCAAGATCGGGGCCTCGTCTCGACGAGACACACGTTAGTACGGGAGTAAAAGGTAGCTTTGGCTATCTTGATCCAGAGTATTTTCGAAGACAACAACTCACTGATAAGTCGGATGTGTATTCATTTGGAGTAGTGCTCTATGAAGTTCTTTGTGCTAGGCCTGCTGTTGATCCATTGCTTGATAGGGAACAAGTAAATCTCGCCGAATGGGCATTGCATTGGCAACGGAAAGGAATGCTCGAAAAGATCATCGATCCACATTTGGTCGGGAAAATCAATCCGAGTTCGTTAAAGAAATATGGAGAAACAGCAGAAAAATGTTTGGCTGACTATGGAATTGACAGACCAACAATGGGAGATGTCTTATGGAACTTGGAATATGTTCTTCAACTACAAATCGAGCTACCGATCGAGCCATCAGAACCCGTAGATGTCAATGAATCCAACTTTCCGACGTCCACTGCAACTCATCCAAGCGACTTGAGGAGACATTCAGATGAAGGTACTGGTAACTATTCAGACGCAAGTACAACCAAAGTTTTCTCCCAGTTGCTTACTAATGATGGAAGATAGCTAGCTTTATGATGGATTCTTAAACAGAAGAATCCATATATTATACTCTAACAAAATTACAGCCAAGCCTTCTAAGATAACTCTGCTGGCTTATAATGTTGTAAAAGGTCATTTGTTAGTGTGATATCTGAGGAAAAATTAGCTAGTTAGTTATGTGCAGGTTAGTTTGACAAGATTTGAATCAGGTCAGGAGCGACCTTGACGTTACCTTCCCCCCACCTCGACGTTTTCTGGTTCAAGTCTAAATGTGCATCTCACGATGGTTGGGGCTGCTTGGTAAGCCGTGGCTGGACCCATATCAAACACTATGGGTCACCTTCTTCTCATATGACTTCATTGAGCCTTAGTACTATGTTGTTTGGTGTTATGGTGATTTTGAGCCACCTTACGTGGTCTTACTTGGGCTAAGACTTTGGACGTTCTATCCTGGTTCTTGACTTGGGTTATGAATTACACCTTATAAGTTCTTTTTGTCTTACATACAATGGTGAGCAGTCCAAACTTCTCTTCGGATTATAGATGGAGTGATTTAGGCGTTAGAAACTTCTCCTCGGGATGATAGATAGAGTTATGAATTACACCTTATAGTTCTTTTTGTCTTACCTACAATGGTGGATAGTCCAAACTTCTCCTCGGGATGATAGATGGAGTGATTTAGGTGTTAGAAATTACGACTCTCTATAATGGTATGATATTATCTGCTTTGAGCAGAAGCTTTCATGACTTTGATTTTGGTTTCCTCAGGAAGACTCCTACCAATGAAGATAGTATTCCTTACTTATAAATTCATGATTAATCCCTTAATTAGCCGGCATGGAACTCATCTCCCAACAAGCCTCAACAATAGGTGATATCCAATGTAGAACCAACATTCATTTACTCGTGGCATTTAGGTGGCCTGGCGAACGACCTTGACTCCACCCTTCTCAACAAGCTTTACATCTCTTATTAGTATATGGTCAGCTATCTCTCGAGCATAGATTTAAGTTCGACTTAAATGAAAATTTAAAACGAATCATCCAACAATATATCTTTATGGACCAAAGACTACGAGTTGTACTATTTCAGGGTGACAAAGGGTTGTACTATTTTAGCCTTCTCCCTTGTCATTGAGTCTCTTCTTTATTTTAATTAATAGTAATAATTTTAAATTTAAAAGGGAAAAAATGGAACTCATAAAGATTGGTATTTAATATTCCTAACTAAATATTTTTAAATCTCAAAAACTAAAAGAAAAAAGAAAAGAAAAGAAAAGAAAAGAAAAGAAAAAAGAGTTTGAAGACGACGAGATGGGGCCCACTTGTCCAACTCATTTCAGACAATGAGCTTACTCCGTCATCCATCCTGCAACCTGGCACCGACTGCCACGCCAGCTGTGCTCCAGTCCAATTTCTGAATATTCTCACATTCCCAAGGGCAAATTGGTAATCACACATGACTCTTCAATCATTTCGGAAAAGGGGAAATTATCAGAAAATCCTTTATTTTGAAAATTTTTAAATGCAACTTCCAGCTTTCATGCGAATCGGAGATCCAATAGCGTGTGTTCCAAAACTCAATCTGAATTCCCTGTTTCGAGTTCAAGAAAAAGTAAAGGAGTAACCAAAGACAGAGATTTCGATTTTCGAGGCGGAAGATTTTGAAATCAGAGACAACGAGGAGCAAATCATAGTGAAGTAGAAAGATAACGGTGGCTGAAAGGTTGTTTTGATTTCATTTGAATCCAATTGGTACTACTCATTTTCCAACTGAGAGACATTGCGAGGCAAGTTTCACGACACACCGGTGGTAGATTTAGGGTTAGGGTCATTTTGTTTCTAATTCTGAGAGAAAAAGAGCACCAGGTTTACAGTTTAGGGTTTTGGTTTGCGTTTTTCTTGAAAAATGACCGACGTGATACTGCACATATACGACGTCACGAATAGCGGATCAGATAAGACCAACAATACAATCGTTAATATCAACAAGATTTTCAAGGATGGAATTGGTCTTGGCGGTATCTTTCATAGCGCTGTTCAGGTTTGCCGCTTTCTCTTTTGTATCTTTTCACGTATTTACAGGTTTTTGTAGGCTAAGTAGTGATGGTTTCTTTAGTTAATATTGTTACCCTTAGATTTTATTTCCCGTTAATCCGTATGTTTCTCAGTTGAAGATGAACAATTGGTATCTTCATTGGTTTGCAAGTGTGAATGTCAGTGTGGCTCTGTCTGTCTCCAGTGGTTTTATTATGTGTTGCTCTGATCCAGGTGGATATTTCTTTAGTAGAGGTAGAGACTATACCTACTGAAAATGTATTGTGTTGGTTCATTTAGGACTTTTAAGAGTTTGTTAATTCTATTTATTTCAGTCAGAAATTGTTCTTGTTCAGAAGAGGTTGGACTCTGACTGGACGCCAAAACATAATCTAGATTGTGAGATAACGTTACTTATTTCATCTTTACCTTAAGACGTGGAAATTTTTGCAATAGATTGTTTAATCATTTTTCCACTTATGTTTTCACTCCCATTCTGGCCATGAATAAATCATAAGCATGTCATATACGTGTTTTATTCGACTACGTGACCTTTTTTAGCTAATATTTTCTTCATAGAAGATATTAAACATTACTCTCAAACTTGTTTCTTATTAAAAAAAAAAAAACATTACTCTCGAACAAATTATAAGGCTTATGAAGCTCTCACTCTTGTGCTCATTGCCAGTCACATTTTCCTACCCATAATTCCCCTACATAGACTTGTGACTTTTACAGGTGAAAGGACTGTTGGATTAATTGTGCTATGCCCTACAGGTTTATGGAGATGATGAATGGTCCTTTGGGTTTTGCGAGCAGGGAACTGGAGTTTTCAGTTGCCCCTCTGGACAGAACCCAATGTACACGTATCGTGAAAGTATTAACCTTGGAAGAACAAACTGTTCAATTTTCAAGGTGAATCAGATTTTAAGAGAACTTAGTAGAGAGTGGCCTGGAAGTTCATATGACTTGCTATCAAGAAATTGTAACCACTTTTGTGATCAGTTCTGCGAAATGCTCAATGTACCAAAGCTTCCAGGTAATGTTACCTGAATGCATACCATTATGATCTATAATATAAGATCTTTGTTCTGAGACAATTTTTTCTTAGCATTTGAGACATTCACTAGATTCATTTTCTGATGCTTGTGGTGATAACCAAAGAAATACTTTTACATCTATTAGGTTTGCTAAATTGTTGTTAACATGTTAACCTCCTTCATTGGCCTCTCAGTATATATTTGCATCATCATGGTTTTAATATAATGTTTTTGTTTTGTTCTGCTTTTAAATGGCATCACTTTTGATGAAGAATGGCTTATATTGCTCTAAGAAGCTCATTAAGTATGTCAATAATAAGTGCATTACTGGTCTTCAATTGATATTTAGGCACCTAGTCTGAGGTTCAACTCTGCAGCAAGGCAAACAGAACATTTTGAAGTCCCACAGAATTGTATAACAGGCTACTTTTTTTTTTTATATGATTACATCTTGTGAGGTTCATGGCTCATTACTGAGTTTAGGGGGCATTTGAAGCATAGATCTTATCAAATACATCTTCATTTTCTTGCTATTTCATCTCTCTCTCGCTCTTTCTCTCCCTCTCTCCCTCTCCAATTTTAGTTTTCCTTCTACTAAATTATCTGTTCTCTTCTCTGTCATTCTTATTTTCTGTCTTTGCAAGTCCATGAAAGTTGTTACTTTTTCCTAGTCTTTTCATCTCCTCCTAACAATTTCCTGCTGTTGGTTTTCTTTTTCCTCGTTTCTCCATATCTTAGTCTATGATCCTTGTAACAAGCGGTGAAGGGTGCGAAAACAGTGAGAGTAACAAGAATGTAGTGGTTGTTACTTGAAGGTCTGGACTTGACAATGATGTCATAGTATGAAATAAATAGTAGAGGCAGAGTGGTAAAGACTGTTTTCTTTCTAATTGAGCTATTACTTTTGGCAAATACCTGATGGGGAAGGATTGTGGGTGTGTGTGGGGACTTCCTCTTTCCTCGATTTTAACTAGAGGATGTTAATTAATTTTTGGTAGAAAAAAAAATCTGATAATGTTTATCCTGTTGTAGGTTGGGTTAATCGGTTCGCCAATGCTGGTGATGCTGCACTGGAAGTAGCTGGAAACACAGCAGTTCGTGTAAGTTTTACTGCAACATGTAACAGCATAACATTTTTCATGTTGCAATTAGACTTTTTTGGACTGAGGGATCACACAACATGTTGCATATTCTTTGGAGAATATTACCACAACTTGCATTTGCTCAGCCCTTAGCATATTGGCACATTTCAAAATGTTTCTTTTTTAAAAATGGCAGTACAAATCTTTTTGCTATTAGGTATAAAGTGTAAGGGATGGATGATCGATCCATGCACAAGGGTTATACTGACTGGGTCTGCAGGCTATACGTTCTTAAGACTAAATGTTCATATGTTGGAATTTGGTCAAAATTTTTGCTACCATTATAATTTTCATTGTCTAGATGTGTCATTTTGCTTTTTAAGATCCTAACACTCATCAACTAAGCTAGACAATTTATTCCCTTTGTCAGAGAAGAAAATGTGATTTTTTACCTTCATAAACTTTATGCAAATGGCTCAGTAATTATAATAAAATGTGCAACGAGCTAAATGTGGTTTGTTGGTTTTTATCGTGTTATTGCAGTTTAAACAGGCAAAGACAGAGATCGTATCGGCCAGCAAAGTGGCTTACCGTTTTCTTCTTGGGGCCACGAACAACATCTTGTCTTCTCCAGACTCTACTAGTGATTCGAATAGAGTTACTTCTAGATTTCAAGCTGCATGGTTTAAGAATCTTATTACTACTGGTGCTAAACCATCGAGTAGTTCAGAAATAGGGAATGAAGTTGAAGGTGCACAGCAACAACGCAAAGCAAATGAAGAGTCGCCAATGTTGCTCAATTCCCGATTGCAGCGTGATATATGAAAGTGTTCTGGAGTGTTGTTAGGTACAAGTGAAAATCGTGTTTTGATGAACTTAGGTTTATTGTTTCATTAAGTGTAAAATTTCATTTTTATTACTGAGAAATATATTGATTTGTGTGCGTTTATGGAGCTGCTCCTTTTGCATCTGATGATATTTTGTGCAGAATCCTTCAAGTCAATACATAGCAACAACCCATTTTGTGGTTCATCTGATTTGCTTGGAAGTTTGGTCCTTTCGTTTCGGACAAATTTTGATGGAATCGTGGTATCATCCTTATCCAAATTAGCTCTTTTATTCGTTTACCTGATCTACGACGCAAGAAGAAATACTTCATGTCGGTATTATTCTTCCTAAATTTGGGCTCAAATGGTGGGGAACTAAATTTTGGTTTGTAGGTTGTCAATTTTAAGTCCGTAAAAATACAATAACTTCAATTTTTGCTGACTAACGTTTGTGGAAGAAACCAAATTTCACTAGCTTTAGTCATCACAGGTTTTCCAGAAAACAGAAAAAAAAAAAAAAAAAAAAAAAAAAAAAAAAAAAATCTGAAAATCCATCCGAGTACATACCTGAAAATCTGAAAGAATCTGAAGAAGATAATGTTGACAGGCAGTTAAGTCATTGAAGCATAACATTTTCTATAATACAAATTCTTAAAAATACAATTTAACAAGCCACAAGACTAATGATCTGAGTGAACGGACTTTAACAAGAATGCTTCAAACTGCTGCTGAGAGTGCCCTTTGAGCATATCAACACATAAACTGCATGTTGAATTTGCTAACTTAGGGACTGACGATAAGAACAACACTGGGTACAAGATAACTTAGAACTCCCCAAAAAAGACAGACTAATTTCCCGGGCAAACGACAGGATTCAGGTCAACCATAAAGAGTTAAACAATTATGAGAACATGTACAAAACCAAACTACCACCATTTCAAATGTGTGGTTTAAATTACATACCCCTTTGCATTCTGTCAAGGATGTCGATTTCTTCATCCCTGTCTACTGCAATTTGAAGCGATGAGACAGACTGAGCTGCTATAATACCAGCAGAAATCTCACTTACAGCACCATCAACTTGCTCGAAACATAAGGCATGGTGGTGACCTTCAGCATAAGGTCCAGCTGAGACTGACCAGTAGTCATTCCTAAATCCGTGCCACTTTGATCCAAATCTATTGAGATTAGAGGTCCACCTACTCCCTTCAAGGGAGCACCTCCCGAACTCCTGCACTGGAATGCCAGGTCTTGTAACATTCATTACGTGGTCAAACTGCCCAGGGCACTCCCAAGGGTTGAGACCGTCGTTTTTCAGAAGAATCTTGTATGAGTCATCTGAGTCTTCACCAATGAGGACATGCAGAGCAACAGCCTCAGCAATAGCAGCACCTTCTTCATCCAGCCTTTGCTGTTCTTCCTTCTTCATTTGTTTTTTCTTTTCAAGTTCAGATATAATAGCTGCTGAAGTAGCAAGGGCTTTTTCTAACCGCCTCTTTTTCTTCTCGGCTTGTTTCTGACGATCCAACTCATCCTTCACCTGCTTCTTTTTTGCTTTCTTCACGACAGGTTGTCCTTTATTACCCATACTTGCCACAAAACTAGCCATACCTAACAAATCTTTTCAATCACTTTTTCAAAGAACTAGTTGTAAGTAGTATATATATCCTCGTAATTGTTTCTCCATCCTTTCATCATGATACTGTAGAGTCTATAGAGGATCACTTTATTAATATCTACTATATTTTACTATCCTAAACACTACACCCACTCAGGTCTGTAGGAATACCTCCTTTTCCTGACAATGCAATCCCAGACAGAGACAACAGGTGACAGCAAAAGAGCATACTTGTAAGAAGTTACAGAACCACCTCTCGGCAACAGTTGCCCTAGTTTTCCACAGCCTTTCCACTTATCCATTTTGTACATATCAAATGTACCAAAAGATGCTTTATATTCCAACGGTAGCAACAAACAGAAAGCTATCTAAACTGGAGCAACTCATGAGCCCTTCCTGATGGCTGTGGATTGAATAGAATAAACTAATCAATAAACTTCACTAGAAAAAGAAAACACAGAAACCTGCTTGTTATTATATGCTCACCCAACTGATAACGGGTCAAACTACGTAATAGGAACCCAATAAAGAGAACAATAATATAATTGAAGGCCAAGTACTTAACTTCTAAGGTACCAGAAAAAACCATGGGTAAACTAAAGTTGCTACAGACATGAAAGAAACAACAAGCATTATGCCGATACTTTAATGCAGAGATCATGAAAAACTTATATGGAATGATATGAAGGAATGTTCAATGGCATTAAAAGCATAAACTGCATAAGTATAGTAATTATAGAATTGCATAGTCATTTGCAGCCTAAGCCTCACAGCTTAAGTTCGTGGTCACAAGCTTGTACCCTGATCTTTTCCCCTTCCATGCAAATTCACTTACATCATCCTTCATTCACACATACAACATGTGATTGTTCAAGAAGACATTAAACATTCAAAGAAGATAATTGGATGGTGGTGGGCATTGAAGGATAGTACCTAAGACTATGTATTTTGAACTTGACTAATTGGAATTATCTTCTTTGAATTAGTCTTAGGTACTATCCTTCTCGTTAAACCATAAGCTTAGGCGAGCATTAAAATAAATATGTTAGAAACCTGAGTCATGAAACCAAGCAATTAACACCATGACAAAGAGTCATTCATAGTGAATAGTGATCTACATCAAATATGGAAATGTGAGTTTTAAACGTCTTACGCTGCTTCCACAAACAATGACACCAGATCCAAATATACTAAACGCATACGTGCTGGTTAAGGTAAAAAAAAAACAGACAATTCAATTCTAATTCATCACCGTGCAAGAAACAGGATAGATGCTTGGAAGCCAAAGCAAAAGAAAAAGGGATTTGGGGATCCATCGCATCTCTATTTGCTGCACCGCTAAAACATGGTCCAGGATACCCAGATCACAGAATTTAAACCGTTTGATCAGCGAAGATGAATCAGCATAGAGGGAATGTTTAAAACCTAAAGCAGATATCCACAAGTGGAATCAAATGATATACCGGCTCAACAAGAGTACACCCAAAGAAAATTAGGGATAAGATCATGTAGCGCTGGATTCAGAAGCGATTCATACACTTAGTGGAGAAGAAAACGAAAGCGAAAGACGAAGACAACAGAGGAGTTCCAGAAGTAAGTCGTGCAGAAGGAACATGTGTGAGGAATACGATAAAATATTCAGTTGGAGGATCAAATAACTCAGAACAGAGAAGCTAAACCTTTCAGAATGATAGACAATAGAAACAGGTCCACATCTCCATTATCCCGATCTACGAAGTGAAAGCCCCAAGAAATTTAGGGTTCAGATTTTGCCGATTTCAGATCCAGAGAGAAATGGAGTAACAAACGATAAATAGTAAAATAGAAAAGAAAAAAAAACAAAAAAAAACTGACTTGCTGAGAGGGTGAAGATAATTCTTCACAGACAAATAAAAAATCACCACGTGGCACATGATGGCTGGCTTTTATGTAAAAGTAGTAGTAGGGGGCATCTAAAATTATCTGGCTGACACCTCCTTGGCGGCTCGGCTGCCCCACTTCCCCACTTTCTTTTGCTGACACTTTTCTTCCACGTATGAATATATTCTGTTTTACTGATTAAATTTAGGGACTAATATTATTTATTTTTTTAAATGATATTTTTTTTAGAATATTAAGAGAAAATTTTGAATAAAAGACGCCCTTCCATTTGATGGTTGGTATGAAGAAAAGAGAAATATTTTATAGTTTAGAACACAATTATTTAATCCAATCCTTCTGAATTTTTTAGGCATAGAATGAAACGACAGCGTATTTCTAGAAATAACAAATTGACCTATTTTTAGAATTTAAAAACATTAATATTATTACCCAAGAAAAAAAAAACCTTTTTCTTTATCCTTTTTGTCTACTTCGGCCAATGTTTTGTTGATCTCAAAGTGGCTTTCATTCTTTGTTGGGTAGCAAATGCAGGCTTTGGGTTTGCTCTAAAGGCACCATAATTGATGGGTTTGATACTCTTTGAAGGCAAGAGAGGTGACCTCATTGTGATTGTGCCCTACTATTTTCCACTCAATTTCATCTCAATCTTTAAACAAAAAATATTGTTTTAGACGGATGGAGCATTTTCTTATCCTCTACCTCTACCCGAAATCAAGAACTTCTGAATTGGAGATTTAAAAAACAAACTGACCTTGATTGTGTTCTCAGAGGCTAATAGTTGTGGAACTCCAACTAGTTTGATTCTTGTTGGAAGCTTCCCATGGTCTAACTTCCCATCTGCATTAAAAACAATCGTAATATTTTTAATATCTTGTTTTTGTTTTTTTGATATCAGGTTAGAAACGATGAAACTTGTGTGATATTGTCCACTTTGAATATAAGTTTTCGTGGTTTTTCTAGTGATAATGTTTTTCTTACCTATAATAAACTCATGATCAATGTGAGACTTCCTCCCAACAATCCTCCGACTTAGGCTTAAAAGGAGTTTTGTTCCCCCACCATCCAAATTGCAGCACAGAGTTCATCGACAGAATTCAGCACGACTCTGCTACATGGAAAAAAGTTCATATGTCGGTAAACACAAACAGAGCTTGAGAAAAGATTTAGTAAGAGAAAGCAAAATCATTTTGCAATATCAATAACTAGAGTTAAATACTTAAGTTGTCCCATCATTAGCATATAACTTCGAAGATGGAATCATGAAAACTTAAATGATACGAAGACACATAAGAATCCTGATGTAAATAAGAACTTCCAATCTGCAGAGGAATTTGAGCACAAACTAATATGGAAATCAATGTCTATGGGTTTAGTATGTGCCTGAACAACAGAATTCGAATCTAATGCGTTGGTCCCATATTACCAGACCCTTTGAGATGCAAAATCAACAATGAAATATCAGATTTAGAATTGGCGCTGGTTCGTTCTTGTCCGAAATTCTGCTTGAACCTAAGAATGTAGCGTTATTATTTGAGTTTCTAATGAGGTCGGTTCTGTGAGTAGGAGAAGTGGCACCAGGAAATGGACGGAAAAATGGCGGAACGTGTTGGTGCTGACGCCGGAGATTCTTCTAGAAATGGGAAATGGACGCCGATAAATTTTCTTCATAGTTATGTTAACTCTCGTGGTTGTCGCATTTTCTGAAAATGCGTTTCCACTAACTAAAAGAAACGTTTCTGAAATTTCTGGGCCTCTGGGGGAACAAATTGGCATTAAAGCCGTGGAATAACTTCCAAACTTAGAATTGGTTTGGTGGTAAGAAATGGGAGACAAGACTGACCTAAAATGGGACCAATGATTTCAGCCACAAAACCCATACTTTTCTCTGTCCCTTTCAATGCAAAGTGAGAAATTCCTTATGATGAAATTCGACAAATTATTCCATCTCTGTCGCAATCTAAGCACTTCTATGTCTTTCCGAATCTAATTACAATCTCAAAGATCTATAGTGATTCTATTCTTCTGTTCTACAATTATTGAACTAAAAAGTCTTAAAATTACTTGTACCATTAAAAGTTGTTTTTTCCACTCGTCCGTGAACATCATCGGTGTTTATTTGTTCATAAACTAAACAAACCAAACTGAAACAGGTAGGAACTAAGGAAACCAAAAAGCATAAAAAAAAAGAAAAGAAAAGAAAAGAAAGAAACCAATAAAGGCATTAGAATTTGAGAAATTGGGAGAGCATTTGTCCATAATGGAGGAAGAGGATATTATAAAATATGATTAAAGAATTGGAAAGTGTTAGTAGTGCATGAACCTCCCACCCCCGAGCTTACGGCTTTCATCACTTTACAGCAATTTCCGAGGGCTCCCAAAGAGGGTGGCAATGGCGACGTGGGGTGGGGGAGTTCATGAGAAACCGACACGTAAAGCCCAATACCCGAATGGAGACAAGTGTTTTGGCTGATGTAAATGCAACCGAAAAAGGGGCACTTGATGGGGTTGACTCATCCCATCCCCCGCAACTGGCCTTGGTTGCGACCTTTTATCATACAGGTGGAGTGCATAATGAAGTAGGTTTGAGTTTTCAAAGCTTTCAACTATTGTTAAAGAAAAATCAGGAGATGCATTAAAAACAAGATAAGAAATCGGAAATCCCATAAATTATGATACTTCTAGATTCTAGGCATTTTATCAAACACACGGCGTGCAATAATTGGTTGAGTTCGTGCCCAACCTTACCCACAAAGACAAACACACTAGCACATTCATTAGAAAAAGAAATTTTTGTTTCTTGCATGTGATTTAGCTAATGCAAGAAACGTAGGCACTCATCAACTCAATAATTCTTAAATTAATCAAAAGGAAGTTGGAGAAACTTTTCACCGACCTTATTATGAAATTCCGGTGGACCCATTTCAGCACTGAACTGCTTGGCTGTTTGTCCGAAATTTCAGCATAACTCGAGAGAGAGCGAGAGCATCTTACAACTGTGGCCGCATTGGCAGGAAACTGAAAGCGGAACTAAATCGGTCATCCATGATCCATTGCGTATAAAGTTACGCCGCTATTTATTAGTTTCTTTTATTTTTATTATTATTATTATTATTATTATTTATACATAATTGCACTATCCCAACCAAACTCTTTGAGATATAATTCAAAGCATTCATTCAACTCTTGAGATATAATTATATAATCTAAAATATTCAAAATAAAGTAGTTGAGATATAATTTAAATATTCAAACTATTTAGATAATTTTTGGAGATTAATAGATTTGAATTTATATAAATTTTCATGGTGAAGTGTATAATAAATATGGCAGCTTTCTTCTATTTTATCTATTTCTATCTCTTACCATCCCTATTTTCTTCATCATTTCTCAACGGCTTTGCCTCATAAGTAAAAGAAGATAAAAAAATACACCCACCCTGTTCTACATAATATTTCACTTTTCAATGTTAAAAAACAGAAAAGTTACTGTTCTGTGAGGCCTGTATTTCCCCCCTTTTTTCGTCGTCTCATTTCCACACAATATTTGTTCATCAAGAGCCGTTGATTGATTTTGTTGTCGTCAATTTTATTCTTCTGTTGATTTCCTTCTCCAATTCTTCTTGGCCTCCCACTTCCTCTAATTCCTGCACCCATCATTTAAATTTTACAAAATTCATTTATTAAAATTTTAATATATATACATATATCTATGTATGTATATACATGTATGTGTGTATATAGATAGAAAGAGACCCGAAACTGACCTTCGGACCTAAAAACAGTCCATATGGCACGCCGTTGAACTTGTCCGAATGGTGAAGCTTAAGCCAAGAAAAACAAAAACTCATAAGCTTCAATATTCAAATCAGAGATAATATTTTAATTTTAACCCTAAACATAATTTAATGTGACATTAATAAAAAAAAAAATGGAAAGTTTAAGAATTCTATTATAGCTCCAAATTCCATACAGCTGTTTTCTTATTACAACTACTATGAGATCTCATTAGTCGGCTGACTTAAAATCATATTTTTGTATCTAAGTCTATTATACGCGGATGTCTAGCTTCTCGATATTCATAAATTTAGAAATAAGGACAATTGAATTTTTTATTTAACCCATTTTTCATATAATTAATTAGCAGGAATCTACATCTAGTGATCTAAATACCTTAAGTTTTGGAACAGAATAGAGATTTTGTTAGATCATTAATGAAAAGTCAACACAGTAGGGAGTAAACAGAGTATCAAATTTGAGATCAAAATAAAATTTAAATTATAACAAATGTGTGTGTTTTTTTTTTCTTTTTTCTTTTTCTCTCTCTCTCAAGGAATAAGCATTTTAAAAATAAATAAATAAGATTATAGAAATATAAATTTACCTGGTGAGCGGCAGCGACCTTTCTGAAATAGGGCACGTTGGCAATGGGACCCACAGGGAATCTTTTGTGAACAAGACCGTCGTGGACGAACATGTAGGCCATCCCAAAGACCGTAATTCCAAGGCCCTGCCACAACCCGCCAGCGTGTCAAACCTTTCTCAATACCACATTTTCTAAGGCTAATTTTGTCATTTAACATATCATTAGCGCTAATCCCCAGTGATTAAATAACCATTGAACAGTTGGAATATGAATAAACTGAGATTCTGAAAGATTATGAGAGAGAAAGAGAGATTTACAGCGCCGAAGCAGAGACCGGGGACGAGGCCTTTATGGAAGAAGCCGTAAGAGAGGAGAGCTATGGCGGGCACGGCATTGATAATGGCGAAGACATCGTTCAGTTCGAACGGCCCTTCTCTTGGTTTATGGTGCGACTGTAATAATCAAGATAAACAAAGTCCAAGCGTCAACGACGTTTTTAAAAAATAAATTAAATGTTGTTTGTTTGCTTCGAGATTGAACATGGAAAACGGAGATTGTTAATTAAATTTCTCAGCAGCCAATAAAGAATAATCTATGAAGAAAGGATTAGTCTAGAAATGGTGCGACTGCAGCCATTATAAGTCCAAGCGTCACGAATCTATTTTCCCTTCGAATACTGTTTGTTAGATATGAAATTAAGCTTCACAGTGGATTCAAATTTTCTAAAGAGAAGAAGGATTAGAAACCTCGTGCATATGCCACATGGAAGAGTGCCAGAGAGCCCTATGAGCCCATCTCGCCCAAAACTCCATGCCGACCTGATATTTCCAAATTGATTGTGAAAGATTAGCTTATAGCAAATCGAACTCTTCGCGAGAAGTAGAGAATACAAAGATGAAATCGAAAACGTACAGCGGCACCAACAGAGAGACAAAATGTACCAAACATTTCAGAGAAAGGAATCTCTCCGCCCTACACTCCGCCAAATTAAACAATCGCAATTCAATATTCAATCTGAAGAATACGGCGCCAATGAGAACAAAAAAAATTAAAGTTTCTCGATAGAGAAAGAGAGGACCTCCATTTGCCAGTAAAATCGGTAATAAACCGCCATGACAGCCATGGAGGTAATTCCAAAACTAGACATAACCGCAGCAACAAGATAAGTGAAGCGCTCCGATCTCTTCCTTGCCAATCTTTGTGCAACATAAGGCGATGGGATCTGGGGGACTACAATCGGCGGTTCTTCATCGGAAAGATTCTCCACCTCGCCAGAGCTATTTTGATCCTCAACGAGCACGCAGACAGTGAACAGCGTTTTTCTCCGCATCTTCCGTTGGATTCTACTGTTCCGAAAGACTGAAGGTGGAAACAGAAACGGAGTTCGAGGTTTATGGGAGAGATGAGAGGAAGCAAGGAAGAGATGGAGTGGTTTGGGCCCTAAGGCGGCGGAGAGGGCGGCCGCCATGGGAGAGATGAAGGTGAAAAGTGAAAAGACGGTGGAAGAGGGAGAAGCTTATCGGAGAGAGGGCTTTAATAGAGGTTGAAGGAACAGAGACCACAAGTTTTCGTCAGTGAAGGGGGGACTAAATTACTCTGAGCGGACAAAATGGAAGTTTGCTGCCTTTTTTCGTTTATATACGAAATTGCCCTTTTTTATTTTCTCTCTTTTAAATTCATTCTTCATTTTCCAAATTTATAATTTAACTCAAACAATATTTATCCTATGTTTTTTTGCTCTCTTTATAATTTTTTTTTTTAAAAAAAGTTTAGATTATATTTTATTATTTAATACAATAAGATCATTTGAGTGTGAACTCAGAAAAGGGATCTTGTATTTTAATCCACATATTACCTTTATTTGGCATCTTGTATCAAATTTAGAAATGCGTTGCCTTATTATTTTGTCAATTATCTTATTTAATTATTATTTTGTCGATTATCTTATTTAAAAAATTTAACCTCTCCAATTAAATAGACATTTATATAAATTTAAGACATCCCAACAACTAAAAAATTAAAAAAAAAAAAACAAACTTTATTTAATATTCTAATGTTCAATTATTTGTTAATTTCATACATTAATTTGATATTGAAAAAAGGTTCAAGCGGAGAAAATCTGGTGAACACAACAAAGGTGTGTAAGGTGTGTATATAATAAGTGCTCTCTCCCAAACAAATAAGCATAATTATCTTTTCAACCAAATATTAAAAAAAAGGTCATTTGAACGCAATCTATAAACATTAATATTTTAATACATGGAGGGTATCAAAGTACGGCGGTTAAATTACCTATAATTATAATTTCAATTAAAATATGTTTAGGTAAGTTGAATAACTTAGGTAGAGTCCTATAATTAAATCTATATTTTTGTAACATCCAATTAAAGCTAAAAAGGTTAATAGTAATAAAATTGATCTCAAAACCACTAGTCGACCCAAGTAAGGGAGGAGAAGAGGCAAAAAAAAAAAAAAAAAAAAAAAAAAAAAAAAATGTGGGTGGACCATGAAATGAACAAAAAGGGAAGAGAAGGGACAATACCAGGGACTACGAACGTGGAGTTGATGGCCGCCGAAGGAACAGCAGACGACAGCAAATCACTTAAGACGACAATCCACTTTCGTCCTCCCCACCCCTATAAAACTCACCCAATTGCTTCTTGCCACGTGGTGTCCACTCTCTTCCACACCCTTTGTCTCTATTATTGGCTCTTAAGCGGATTTCTAAATTTCAAATTTGGCCATCTAATTGACACTGTTTTGTTATCTCATGTAACACGTGCCAATTCGATGATGTTGCTAGAGGTGAGGCGCAGCTTCTGACTAATGTTTTATGGCAAATTAAGAAATTCGGATTTAATTCAAAGCTTTTTTAATACATTAAATTGGAGAAGAAAGAAAGTTGTAGTGAGATAAATATAATTGACTCAATACAAAAATTTAGAATATTTTGATATTTTTAGACAGTAAACCAATTATTTGTATTCAATCCCACACCATATTACGTGTATAGAATAAAATAGAGTGGACCTGAAAAAAAAAATCAATAAAACAAAGTAGATAATATTTATAAATAAATAAAATCCGTAATAAACTCTATACATTAATAATTTTATTGGGTCAATTTTAGATGATCATCCATTAAAAAAAAGTGCAAACTTTAAAAATCATACTTCTTTAGTAAGGGCCGGTACGCAACTAGGCGATATCGTCCTCTTTGAGCTTCCTCTCACAGCGTTATAAGCTTTGGTGAAAGATTTTCATATCCTTATAAAATAGGTTTCGTTCTCCAATATGTCAATATAGATATAACTTCTTTGTAAAAATGAATTAGAATTGGATAGGCATAAACTTAAAAAAGTAAAAAACTCTTACCTTGATATAATGATAATTAGTCAAGCTTCACAAGGACTCTCCCGTTCGGATTTCCCCACCCTAAAATACACGTCAATAAAAAATTGTTGGTAAAAAAATAATAATAATAATTAATTTTGTGGGTGTGTATATAAATACGTACATGGGCGAGCAAAAGGTCGCGAGGCTGAAGCATGAGAAGGATTTGACCCATAGTAGGCCTGTTCAGTATGTCTGGATCAACACAGCGAAGGGCAATTAAGAGCATCCGTTTGAGTTGCTTTGAGGATGGTTTTTCTTCCATTTTGAAATCCACTGTTTCAACTGCCTTTTGACTCCCAATCATTGTTTTCACCCACTCTATCAAATCTGGCTGCATTTTTTATTCAAAACCCTCCATCAATCTCCGTTTCTAACACAAATTTCCACTATAAAATCATCATTTTATCACCCAATCTCCGTTTCTAGCACAAATTTCCACTATAAAATCATCATTTTATCACCCAGTGTATGAAGCATACTTGTGATTGGTTGCAGTTCGCGGGAGCTCTTCCCGTTATAATCTCCATGAGAAGTATACCAAAGCTGTAAACATCATTCTGTTCTGTGAATGGATTGGTTGATCCAATTTCAAAGGATTCATGCCTGAGAATATAAACAAATTTCCTTTTAGTAACCGCCCAACCCCACCGCTAGCCAGCCGATATTATTTTTTTTTAGGTTTTTTCTTTTGGGTTTTGCCTCAAGGCGTTCAAGACATCTGCTAGGGAGAAGTTTCCACACTCTTACAAAGGGTGTTGGTCTTTTCTTTCGGGTGTTTCGTTCTACTCTCCTACCATTGTAAAATCTTACAGCAATGTGGGATCTTACCGTAACCGACCTAAGCCGACCTTCGAACAGTATTTGAAAGAAAAGGAAAGGAAAAAAAAGGTGAGACTACTAACGTTTCTCCAGCCAAAGCTCCAGCTGAGTACTCAGATGGCAACAGCTCAACTAGACCGAAATTGGCAATCTTGGGATTCCATTGCTGATCAAGTAATATGCAGCTGGATCTTAGCCTGCCATGAAGAATTTGTGGTTCCACATCTTCATGAAGATATGCTAATCTGCAGAAACACAAATAGTCCCTCGGTGTAATTAAATCAGCAGAGTCATCCATCACATTTCTATTACATCAATTTTCATTTCATAAGATTCAAACAATCAAAGCTAACTTAGGATGCACTTGTGGGATCTTACCCTTTTGCAATTCCTTGAACAATGTTCATCCTAATGGACCATGTAAGAGGGCTAAAGTGATTCTGTGGACATTGATGAAGCCACTGGTGCAAATTCCCGTTATCTACATTTTTATAAACAAACATCCTGTGGATGACAAGTCTTAACAGAGGAAGACATTCGCATTCATCGAAACGATTAGCCACAAAGGGTGAGAGATAGACATTACCTATTATTAGCAATTCCTTGAGTGCAATATCCAAGCAACTTAATCAGATTTTTGTGGCTAACATGCTGAATTCTCTCTGCTTCTCTGATGAACTCGTTTTCTCCGAGACTGATAAATGAGGAATACAATATGAACAAAAATTAAAACTACTGTTCTTACATCATCATTAAACCCTAAGCTTAGATGGAGCTAATTCTCAATTTCTAGATTCCAAACTCATGGATTCAGGAGAAATACACAAATTAATATTCCAAACACATGGATTATCCAGATTTAGTAGTTAGATATATGTTGAATTAGCACTTTGTGGCTAATCGTAATAATCACTTTTGAGATTCAAATATTAAAACAGAACAGACCTGTTATTTGCACTGAATATCTTAATAATCACTTTTGAACCATCGACCAAATTTCCGAAGTAATCAACATCAAAATCTTCGATGCTAATGACATTCTCTCCGCTGAATCCATTGGTTGCTAATACGATCTCATCCAATGCAAATATGTTCCTTCTCCACTGGTCCTTACACGCCGCAGGAAAGTATTGGCCGGCCGAATACTCCCAATTTGTGACGATACTACGCTGAGTATTCAGACTGCCATGCCGTGAAAACCGATCTACGGAACCGTTCTTTATGTTCATCTCCATCTCCGTGGAAATCGCAGCTTCGCGATCATAGCAGGGACGGTTCCAATTCCGCCTCCGTTGACGGAAACAGACGTGAAAAATGAAGGCAAGAATGAGAAGGAAAAGAAGAAATACCAGAACGGAAGTTAGAATCAGAAGCCATAGCTTGACTCCCAATGCGGTTCGGCTGGATAGCCATTCGTGAATGGAAGAAGAGTTGTACGCCATGGTGTGGAACAGAATGAGAGACAGAGAGATGGAAGTATGGAGTGTAGAATTCTTGAACAAAGAGGGCGATGTAGTTTTCGAAGCAGAAGGACTAGGGAAGGAAGTTAAGATCATTACAATTCCGATCCCTTCGCGTAGTTCGAATCTTTTGGTCACTAATAACTAACTAGCTTGAGTGGCGGCAAACTCCAAAATATAAATTAAAAATATTTTGGGTTTAAAGTTTTAAAATACCGTTAATCTTTTTTTAAAAAAAATTTAAAAAAATTAACTTTTGTTAAAAAAAACCTTTCAATAGCTTTTTAAAAAACACTATTTTAATTTTAAAAAGTTTAATTAATATCACAACTAAAAAAATTAATAGTTTTATTAGTACTATATTTAAGATATACCATGAAATCTTAAAAGTAGATTAAGACATTTTACATTTATAAAAAAATTATAAAAAAATCTTAATGTTAGTATATGACCAAAAAAATTGTCTATCACCATCTCATAAATTAAAAATTTACGAACATTTATGAGACATGATATTAACGTATTATGCATTTTAATTTAAATTAGAGTAAATGATATTGTAGTTCCTTATTACTAACCTTAACTATATCATCCTAATAATTTGATCTACAAATCTACAAATTTGATCTACAAATCTACAAATATATATATATATATATAGATATGGATATGGATATGGGTGTTTGATATATATTTTTTGTTTCAAACTTAGAATATTTGATATTTCTGTCAACATCAACCTATGAAACCTTTTTTTGGCATCATACTCTAGAAATATTTTAGCATTTATATTTCACCTTTTTTTTGTAGCATTTATATTTCACCTCTTTTTGTAGCATTTATATTTATTTTAAGTATTACCCATTAGAAAACTAAAAGACACATTTCCTTTTCAAATAAATTCTTACAGATATACTTATGAAGACCATAAATATGTTTAATCATATCCCTTTTATTTATGTTTTCTGAAAGACTTCAACATTACCCAAATTAAGTGAATTGCAATTTTTTTTTTCTTAATATCAATAACATTATTAACAAAAGGCATAAAGGGCAGAGAAAGCTGGCAGTTTGTGCTTAGTGCAGAAGATACAGAACTCTATTAGCTAAGGCTGACCTTATTGTGAAATTAATGAAATAAATAAAAATTAAAAGACTGGTCATAGACGTGTGCCTAGTATAACATATTACAACCAAAAAATTACAGTGGTATGCTATAAACTAAAGCTACATGAAATCCAAAGTGTCCAAAGCTCAAAGATCCCCATAACGTTTCAAATCCTACAAATATTACCTGCCTCTGACTCTGTTTATTTATGAAGTTATAACTATATGACTTTAGTGATGTAGTTGAAACTACAAACACTGTGTAAAAAAGTGGTCGATTTCGCTATCACTTCAAGTGCAGGCAGAGGATTACCTGAGAAAAATGTTGAGTTAATTGCGTGTATTGTATTTGTTTGATCGGGTCGGACGGATGTAGACCTTCTTGTTCATGGAAATGGCTATCTAGAGCGAAGCAAGTGAAAATGTACTGCCTCTCGCAAGCATAGCTGCTTTATCGTTCCAACACCATAATGCTCCTTTGATGGCTGCACTCTGATTTCGAAGAGCTTTGGCCAAAGCTTCCCTGTCACTGAAGGAGGAGGGAGATACACATGAGCATATACAAACGACTCGAGTTCGAGTGGGGTAGTTCAGTTCATAGAAGATGCTGACACAAACTAGAGCTTAAACAATTGATTTAGAAAAGGGAAACTCAAAAACTTTGGATCATCAAAACGACGAAATCTACCGACATCAATGACTTGAGTAATCCAAAGATCAATGAACATAGCCGTTGCATTTAAGAAATTTAGTATGCTTTCACATTGAAAATGACTTGAAAGTAAGGACGAACAATTAGGAAACCAAACAATCTTGATTCCTTACCGAAAAGGCGATTCTTGTCGCTATCCCATGCAATGCCATTTAGAACATCAATCTGCAAGGAAGAACAATCGGTCCAACTAAATTAGGTGATGGAAAATGGGAAAATGATAATAGTTACAAAAATCTTAGATTTTCTCGAAAACTTGTCAAATGTATCATCCAATAAATATGTCATATCACGACACGACCATAATCAAGGGAATCATAGCCTTTCAATTTTGATCAAAGAGCTTACTTGTCTCCCGCCTTGCAACAATTTCCGTCTGTAACAGGAAATACAAGTACGATTAATGTGAATTTCTACAGATGATGTGAAGCCTCAGTAAAATTCTGCTAAAGTCCAAAGTGATAAAAGCAAAACCTCAGAGTTGGGAGGAGAACCCATCCAAGCACACTTCCATCACGTATTGAGATTCTGACGATGCAATCAGTCTACAGAAAGGAACATTAAATTAAATCTTCCAACCTTGCAGAGAAGACTAAAGGCCAACAGAAAGTCATCTATCCAATATTTTCATAAGATATGCATTCAATTTGACGGTATCATACAATAATGTAAAAAAGGAATAATTAAACTGTCGGTCAGACAAGATAGGCCCCAGAGAATGACATGCCAGAAACAATACTCCAAGCCTTGAATTTACTTGTTAAAACAGATTTGGTTTCGATCAATAAATTAGTATATAAAAGTGATCGAGAAAGCCAAAAGACCAAAAATATGAACTTACAGCACATTCGGTTAGGTAGCTTACGAAAAGTTCCAAGAGCAACAGTCAGGCTAACAATTATGAAAGGTGCACCTAAGAGTATATTTATTTTAAGACCCTAAAAACTTCAGAACGATATTCAGAAATTGACACACACACACACACACACAAAAAAAAAAAAAAAAAAAAAAAAAGTCACTAAAAGGAATAAATATCTTCGAGAATATACCATCCAAACATTTGCCCAGATTTCTCCATTAACAAATTCCAGCTCATTGAGGTTATGCACCTCATCTCCTTGATATTTCACAACCCATTTATTAGTAACTGCATTAATTGGGAAAATGGCCATATGAATGTTAACGAGACAATTTTTTGCTAAACTAAAACTTATGATAATATTCGTTGCTTCAGTAAACAATATTCATGTGATGAGAATTACATTAAGAAAGAGAGGCAGGAATGCTTTAAGATCCTTATAGTGGAGAACAGAAAACACAAACTTTTAGAGTCACGGAATTTAATTTAGAACAAAACGCTAGTTGTTACTTAGAAGAGTAACCTGTAAATGTCTCTGGTTCAATTTGGTATAATGTTGACGTCCCATCACTTCCAAACAAAACCTTTCCATCTGTTGCCAATCCCCAACCATCACTCATTTGATGAGTGAATTCCTTAACCTGCACAGAGGATGAACACAACATTATATCTTTTGTGAGATCTCACGTTCATTGGAGAGGGGAATGAAGCATTTTTATAAGGATGTAGAAACCTTTTCCTAAGACACGCATTTTAAAACCTTGAGGGGAAGCCCAAAGGGAAAGCCCAAAGTAGACAATATCTACTAGCGGTGGACTTGGAGCTATTACAAATGGTATCAGAGCCAGACACCAGACAGCATGCTAGCGAGGACGCTGGGTCCCCAAGGGAAGTGGATTATGAGATCCCACGTTGGTTGGAGAGGAGAACAAAACATTTTTTTCTTTATAAGGGTGTGGAAACCTCTCCTTAGCAGACACGTTTTAAAACCTTGAGGAAAAACTCGGAAAGGAAAGCCCAAAGGGGACAATATCTGCTAGCGGTGAGTTTTGGCGGTTACATCTTTACATCTTATGGTTTAATTTCAAACCCCAAATTTTCATTACTGAAATATCAACTCATTTAACATAGTCGACATTAGAATATAGGGCACCTCTCTATTTAAATGTATTTAAAAGCCAAAGAATAAAGCGTCCATGAACCTCATTTGCTCTAACTTTAACATGAGAAGAAAAGGTGCAATCTCAAGAAAAGGTATTAAAGATGAAGCACAAACTTTTCTTAAATTATCTCGGTCATATATGAAACCAGTTTTCTTCAACCAAGTTACTTGAAACAGCCTACAAAAGAATATAGAAAGTGTTAAATTAGCAATATGGAGATTCCTTGAATATATTTATAACGGTTACAATGAATCGAGGTACATATGACACGGTGAAGTAAGAACAGATTAGATTTCGAGAATGGGAAAAAATTTTAGACTGCATCCAAATGTACAAAATTAATTTAAAATAACTGAGTTTCATGAGCAGACAAAAACACCAGAATAGATTCCTAGTTTTATAGTACAAAGGATTCATAATTGGCTTCATTACAATTACTTGAAAGAAGTGAATAGTTGATTTCATACTTTAATGGTTAATATCATAAACAGGTAATTTGTCATGCTTCCTTCAACAGAAATTTTCAAATGGTAACTTATTGGAAAGAATGACCATTATCTCCATATCCGAATCTGCAACAAAATCAATGCAATTAATATCTAAACCATCACAAACCTCTCCCCGAGAAGTGTTAATCCTTCCCCAAACTGATTGTCATCCATCTTGTGAAGAGCCTCAGCCTGTACAGGAAAATAAGTACATAAACGAAAGTAACAAGAAAATGGAATGCAATGCTAAAATGTGTTTCCCCCAAACAATTTATTTAGCCATCCATTGAAAAGGCAACATGTTAAGGAAAATTCAATAAAAAATGTGAGAGTCTGTGTGGAGGGAAAAAAGGGTAAAAGGTCTGAAAAATCGTGCACTTCGAAAATTCCTCAAAGGACTCTTTCAACATCAAAACTTAAAACATCAGCCAAATATTTTCAAATTTTCATTGATTATATAACATGATCAAAATAATGAAGGTAAAAAAAGTCATGATAAAAAATGACACTATTTTATTGCATGTGAGAAATCTGAAAAAGAAAAAATTACCTTCCCAGTAGAGAGAGCTACTTTTCGAACTGATGACTGCAACACAAGTCAAGATAAAAGTCACAAGAATAAGATCTAAGGATAACAAAACCATAGTAATTTAATATTCACCAAGTTATTAGATAACAAAAAAAATTTAATTATTCCGTTAGCTAAAAATGTAACAATTTCCCGATTGTAAACACACATTCGGCTTACACTTAGCTGTTCGTTAATAGCTGTTACAAATTTAGCTAAGAAGAAAAAAAAATGATGGATGAGAGGAACTGCATATCGAAATTTGTAAGACCGCCCTCAAATTCTAATCCGAATCTTATTTAGTGTGTGTCATTGAAATAAGGTGAAAGAGAAGATGCAAGGGCACAAGGCTATGATGATCAGAAATTATGACAATTAGAGGTATCGCTACAGAATAAGGATATGATGATCAGAAATTTCTCTCCACAACTACGAAGAAATGATCAGATAAAACTATGCGGATTTCAGAGTACAGGAAACAACAAACTGATGAATTTGACTTGTGAAATGCAAATTCACCTCTCCATAAAGGCCAGTGGACTCAAATAGGGTGTCATTGTCTGCATAAACCAGTCCCTGAGGAAGCAAGAGACAGATTTGTCAAAATAAATACATTCCAACAGAAAACAACGTGCGATACTCATCCGATGCGCCAATATTCCAAATCCACTTTCCTACTATAATTCATATCGAATAGTCAACTAAAAGCAGATAAGATCACAATGACAATACATCATTTGGAATAGGTGAATAAATCAATTCTTGATTTGAAGAAAAATGGTTAGACGGAGAACTACAGACTTCGGACCTTGTCTCTATGCATGTATATCAGTGTGTGTCTATGTCCGTGGCAATAAACAGTACTACTGAATTTCAACCAAGTTCAACCAGAGTATAATGATCTTAGCTTCAAAGAACAGTTCTCCAGAGCCAATATCTTGACACCTTAACTTAATCGTCGTAAACAAAAGCTTGTAATTCAGACTTCTGTACAAAACATATATAAATTTTAAATGGCTCCGAAATTGGGATACCTGAGTGAAGGCTCTAGGATCGTGAGGAAATTCGTTGACCACTTCAATAGAGTAAATCATTGGCGATTGAACTTCATATTTGGCCGATCTTCGCAATACATTAAAAGAAATGCCGAAGACCAGAACAACAAAGAAAACCAGAGAACTCGAAACTAGCAGAGCAGTATTTCTAGGGGTAAGGAAACGTTGATGAGAAGGTCGAGAAGCCATGGCCGCAGGCGGCTTGGAGTTCGATCGCTTAGACTGCCTCCTCTTTAAGGATCCGGCCGCCATTAGATGGCAAATTGTTCATTGATAGCAAAGAAGACAAAGAAAGAATCCAATGGGTTTGGCAGGGATTAGGTAGAGCATGGAGATTGTGAGGCAAAACAAGTAACGCTCTGTTTGGAGCTGAATCTGATGGACTTCGGATTCTCCATTGCAGATTCGTCTCCAACCTTTGATTCAACTCCAGATATGAAAAGTTCAAGCAAAAAAAAAGGAAAAAAAAAAGGAAAAAAAAAAGGAAAAAAAAAAGTCAACAAAAATGAACCAAAAACCATATAAATGTTTAATTTTTTAATAATATTATTTTAACTTTATAATATATATTTTTCTTCACCCCTACTTTATTTTAAAAATACATTTTTACAATTTATATTAAAAAGGCTTGCGCATAATTTTAAGTGTTTTTTGATAAATAATAAATCAGTAATATAAACTAAATTTAAGATTTCTTAAAAATATACGTAATTGATTAAAAAATTATTTAATGGTAAAATCAAATTAAGTTTTGTTGTATTAAAAAAAGGACAATGCGCGCGAATTCTTCGCCAGCAATACATGACAATCACGAACATTCCAGAGACCCACAACTGAAGAACGTTCTCGATCTCGCGGTTCGCGGCCCAAACGTCCAAGAGAAACCGATCGGCAACAGGCTGTACGACGCCGTTTCGTCATCGACCGCCAAATATGATCAATAAAAGCTCGCGAGAAATGTAGAAGGATCGAGACTCTGCGCTATTCTTATTCCACTATAAATACATTCATCCTCTACGTCTGGAAAGCAATTTCGAGTTAGAGTTATTACCTGTGAATATCATCTTCAATCGCTTCGCTCTCGTGCAATTTCTTTTTCATCTGCTTTGAGTTTTTCTTTATTCGCGAGTTTGTTTTGTGTTCAATGGCGGACGTGCAGATGGCTGATGCTGAGACCTTCGCCTTCCAGGCCGAGATTAACCAGCTTCTCAGTTTGATTATCAATACTTTCTACAGCAACAAGGAGATTTTCCTTCGAGAGCTTATCAGCAACTCCTCTGACGTGAGTTTATTTTACTTCCTTCTCTGTTCTTGTGTCTTGTTTCCATTGAATGTCAAGCGTCGTCGAGATTTCAGTGGATTGTTTTGTTTCTGAATCTTCGAATGCTTAATTGTTTGGTTTTGATCATCTTTAGGCGTTGGACAAGATTCGATATGAGAGTTTGACTGATAAGAGCAAACTTGACGCTCAACCAGAGCTTTTCATCAGAATTGTTCCAGACAAGAACAACAAAACTCTCTCCATCATCGATAGTGGAGTCGGAATGACTAAAGCAGGTAAGAGAAGGGTCGAAATATTTCTTAATTTCTGTTAGTCTGTTCGCCAGAATGCCGTTGCGACATTGGGATGTTGGATTTAATTTCTGGTGTTGTTTCTTGAATGCAGATCTGGTGAATAACTTGGGAACCATCGCAAGGTCGGGGACCAAAGAATTCATGGAGGCATTGCAGGCCGGTGCCGATGTCAGCATGATCGGCCAATTCGGTGTAGGGTTCTATTCGGCTTACCTTGTGGCCGAGAAGGTGATTGTGACCACAAAGCACAATGACGACGAGCAATACGTATGGGAATCGCAGGCCGGTGGTTCCTTCACTGTCACAAGGGACGTCAGTGGAGAGCAACTCGGGAGGGGTACCAAGATCACACTCTTCCTCAAGGAGGATCAGGTAATGAAATCAACGCAGTTCATATAACGGTCTGTTCTTGGGATCAGAAATTTGAATACTGGGAATACTGAATTTAGTAGATGAAATGGAAATGTACAAATTTTATCGAATGCGGTACTAATTGGATGTATAATTGTTCAGTTGGAGTATTTGGAAGAGAGAAGGATCAAGGACCTCGTGAAGAAGCACTCTGAGTTCATCAGCTATCCCATCTATCTGTGGACCGAGAAGACTACCGAGAAGGAGATCAGCGACGATGAGGAGGACGAACCTAAGAAGGAAGAAGAAGGAGACGTCGAAGAGGTGGACGAGGAGAAGGAGACCAAGTCAAAGAAGAAGAAGATCAAAGAGGTTTCTCACGAATGGCAACTCATCAACAAGCAGAAACCCATCTGGCTGCGCAAGCCTGAAGAGATCACCAGAGATGAGTATGCATCATTCTACAAGAGCTTGACAAACGACTGGGAGGAACACCTTGCAGTGAAACACTTCTCCGTGGAAGGACAGCTCGAGTTCAAAGCAATTCTCTTTGTCCCGAAGAGGGCTCCGTTTGATCTCTTCGACAGCCGTAAAAAACTGAACAACATAAAGCTCTATGTAAGAAGGGTGTTCATCATGGACAACTGTGAGGAGCTGATCCCCGAGTACCTTGGATTCGTCAAAGGAGTGGTTGATTCGGACGATCTGCCGCTCAATATCTCACGTGAGATGTTGCAGCAGAACAAGATTCTGAAGGTGATAAGGAAGAATTTGGTGAAGAAGTGCATTGAAATGTTCAATGAAATTGCGGAGAACAAAGAGGACTATAACAAGTTTTATGAGGCCTTCTCTAAGAACTTGAAGTTGGGTATCCACGAAGACAGCCAAAACAGAGCCAAATTGGCTGATTTGCTGCGATTCTACTCCACCAGAAGTGGAGATGAAATGACGAGCTTGAAGGATTACGTCACCAGGATGAAGGAGGGTCAGAAGGACATCTACTACATCACCGGTGAGAGTAAAAAAGCAGTGGAGAATTCCCCCTTCTTGGAACGCCTGAAGAAGAAAGGCTACGAGGTGCTTTTCATGGTCGACGCCATTGATGAGTATGCCGTTGGGCAACTTAAAGAGTACGATGGCAAGAAGCTAGTATCTGCCACCAAGGAAGGACTTAAACTTGATGATGAAACAGAGGAAGAGAAGAAGAAAAAGGAGGAGAAAAAGAAGTCATTTGAGAACCTGTGCAAGACTATCAAGGACATCCTTGGTGATAAGGTCGAGAAGGTCGTTGTCTCCGACAGGATAGTGGACTCTCCTTGCTGCTTGGTCACCGGCGAGTACGGCTGGACGGCGAACATGGAGAGAATCATGAAGGCTCAAGCTCTCAGGGACAACAGCATGGGTGCTTACATGTCAAGCAAGAAGACAATGGAGATCAACCCAGATAATGGAATCATGGAGGAGCTAAGGAAAAGAGCCGAGGCGGACAAAAACGACAAATCCGTCAAGGATTTGGTCATGCTCCTCTTCGAAACTGCTCTATTGACTTCTGGTTTCAGCCTTGATGATCCGAATACATTTGCTGCGAGAATTCACAGAATGTTGAAACTTGGTCTTAGCATCGACGAGGAGGAAAATGGAGGAGGAGATGATGCGGACATGCCTGCTTTGGAGGAAGATGGTGCTGAAGAGAGCAAAATGGAGGAGGTCGACTAAGCCTTCTTATTATCAGCTTCAAGTCAATATTGAGATGTCTGTGAATGTGTTTTGTGTGTTGAGTCATTGATCAGCGTCAATGTCGGTTTTGGTTCCTCTTCTTTTCTATTTTCTCTGTTGTATTCAATAAGCAAACGTAGATGTTACTTCAATATATGAACAGATACTTTTTTTTTTGTTGGTCATCATCTTCCGCATTTATCTTCTCTGTGCCCTAATAAATTATTTCTAGGAAACAAATATCCGTACTTTACGTGAAAGCTATAAGATACAGAAGCAACCTCGCACTGTACACATACTCAGAACGGGGACTAGAGGAACATTCTTCCCTCTTGCTCTAAGAAGCGACAGTCGACGAATATACAACAGCAATACAATACTAGTTATCAAGTTCAGTAGCATTAAGGAAGGCTCAATTAGGTACAGTTCGGTGAAGTAGTAGCCGCCGTTGCCATCTCCAGCTTTGTTCTCGTTACTAACCATGTTCCATGAAGGCATCATATGACGAGAGTACCTTTTTCTGCAAGGTGGTATCATGTAATCAAAACGAAAGTAATCAATAACAGAGGGAAGTATCTCTTTCCGAGAATGAAAAACTTCCAGCTTCGATGTTAAGGGTTGGTGTTAAATGGAAGGATCCTAAATGATGTGGCGGTAGCACAATGCAAATATGGTCAACAATTGTTTTGCCTCAGAAACTGTGTGCAAAAGCAGAAATTCGTTAGTGAAGACAGAGATAGAGATAGATACTCACATGGTCCTCAAAGTCGGGGACGGTGAGATTAATGGCCAGGTTTCTCATGAGCAACATCACCTGGAGAGGGAATAAGAATATCAGATATATACTACATAAGTTGTTTCAAGCATATGATTATGATATGATTTATATTATGTTTAAAGGATATAATCTTTGAAGTTAAATGCGGGACCAAGTGAACTGGCTGGCTGGCCTAAATTTTGGATGGAAGTAAAGCTACGGAGTCATGTAGTGGGATGCAAGGCAATGAAGTGGGAACGAAGAACATACAGTTTCGACGTCTATTTGGTCCATCTGTTTTAACTTCTGCAAATGATCCGAGGCTTTTGGGTCGAACACGCTGCCAATGAAGTTGTAGACCTGACCAAAATCTGGCAGTACTGCATTGAATTGAAGATTTCAAATGCATCAACAACGGCCACAGTAATATGTAATGCAAAACAAAGAAGCATCTTCAGGACAATTTTCTATGGGTCTAAATCATTAGGTGAAGGAACTGAAATTTGTAAATGCCGTATGGACTACAGTAACCTAATGTACTACCCAGGCTAAAGAAATTATTGAAATAACGTAACTATCAAAGCTTTCACCTCTCAACTGAAGCTTGTTATGTTCCTCGACGCTTGATTTAGTTGGAAAGCGTGCTCTTGTAGTGCGGTCTGTGCTACTGCAACAATTGTTTTCTATTACTTGCCCTGCAGACACGAAAGAGAAAGGAAACAGCTAGATGTAATCAAAGCATCCAAAACAAAATGAAAAAAAGTTCGTGAGTTATCAAGTAATTAAATTTCCAACCCCTTTCCATTCCAAGAAAAAGATAAAGATAACAAGATCATTTTCAGATTAAGACTCTTGTCTGGTGATTTCACAACTCAAACCTCTTGCACTTCGAGAGAAATTAACCATCTGGGTAGAGTTATCCGCCATGAAACTCGCAGGAGCAGAAGAGGAATTAACCATATAATTCGGTTCAAGAGAAGAAGATTGAAATGGCCCTGACACTAGCGCAAGAGCTGAGACCACAATGGGTTGGCATTACGAGAAAGCGTTGGCAAAATTATGCTGTCAAAAGATAAACTACAAATTGAACTTGTACTGACCATTTGTTGAAGTCTTTTGAGGATATGGACGAGCAGCTTTCCTCTTTGGTCGTGGAGGAGGTAGGTGTTCGCCTGTCCCACTCTTCTCAACCTTCAGGAAGTACTTCTGAGCGTGACTTCGTATCTGATAAGAATCATCATCATCTTTAGACTACTTATAATAGAAGAGCCAAAGCTTGAAGAATTCGAGCATGATTTGTTTTGACCAAACATAACAGGATATTATATTTACTTCAAAATCTTTAAATTTTCGTATATTTTGCCTTACTCTGTACTCTAAATTATGTAACAAAGTACCAATTTCCAGAACTTATCTATAATCATAGAAACGCTATTGAAGAACAAAAATTCCAGAAAGACGAATAACATCGTTATTTCTCGATAACTAACGAGAAAAGAACGAAAACATTCCAGATTTGTTCATTAGATTCGTAGGATAAAAATGGGACGTAAGACGAGTGTGTCCATTACCTGAATGACGGTCTTCGACCCTACAAAGGCCTCAATCTTCTTCCAGTCACGATCAAATCTGAAGCATACAATAAAGAGAAGATACACGAACGGTTAGATCGGAAACAAACACAAAAGCAACAATTCAACTTCCGGACATTTCTTCCAAATAATCAAAAAACAGACCAGAATTCCTCTCCTGATGAAAGAAAACAAAACAAACAGTCAAATACTCCAAAATCACTCCGAAAACAAATCGCGCGGCCTCCACTCGTCAATTCAGAAACCACAAATCAAAGACGATGCCGGATACGAGAATACAACCGCACAGAGAAACGAAATCTTATCAAGACGAGTAAAAATTTAAATCAAATTAGAAAAATATTCACAACAAAAAAGAGAAAAACAGGAGGATGAAGAAGAATGAAGAAGCTCGAAAATACATCGGAGAGAGAATAATATACAGTTGAATAGCTTCGAGGAACTTATCGTGCTCAGGCTCAGTCCAGCTCTCTCTGCACTTGGTGATGGTGTAAGGTTTCCGAGCTCTCTTCAATAGGTCATCTCGCAACGACGTAGCAGCAGTGTCGAACGGTAACGCCATTTGAACGGATCTAATTCGGAATCAACAGCCGTGCTCAGCCCGAGCACGAGGTTCGAGAAATGGCAGTTTGCTGTCGCCAGCGCCATTGATATTTCCGTGCAGATACTTAAAAATTATCCAATGCGCCGGGCGTAGGATTGGCATAGTGTAATCGAGTTACTGGAAGCTGCCACGTGTTTTGTTCGGGTTAATTGGCGGGACTCAGTGCGGGGTAGGAAGAAGGTCGCGGCTGGGACATTGGAGGGAAAGAAGGTAACCGTCACATGCGGAGAGGACAAAGGAGAAAAACATAGTTCCCTTATGAAACCGGTAGACACGTGTCGGTGGCTTAAAAAAGTGGGTTTCAGTGGAAGATATTTTTATTGGGACCCACGGAACTCGAATCTGTGCCACTGATCCGACATTGGGTCAGTTTCTTATCCAGTTGCAGATCTTTTTTCCATAAATTGAATTTATATATTGTATTAATAAATGTTGGCCGAATTTCCAAACTTCAAGTTGAAAAGGTTGTTTTTAAATGTCAATTTAGTCCTAATTTTTATTACTTATTTTATTTATATATTTATTAATTACAAAGACTAGAATTCAAATGACATTAACTTGTTCTAAAGTCTATATATTATTATCACTATTATTATTTATAATAATGATTATTTTCTATAGAACTCCCATTCAATTAAGGCCACATGCTAATTGCCCGCATCCTCATTTAATTAAACCAGACTTTTTGATATCAACAGAAATAAAATGAAAACTGCGCTCTATGATCCATCTGCCTGCTTCAGCTTCTCGTACGATTTCCTTGAAACCTATAAATAAAATACAAATCCCAAGGTTAAAATACACCAAGCTCATAACATTTATGTATGATGGAAAAAAAAAGAAAAAAAAAACCTTATGAGGCGAAACGGGAGATGGAGTGGGAGAAGAGCGCAAGTAATTTCCAAGGGAAGAAGAGAGAGGCGGTGGAGTAAATGGGGAGTGAATACGCGGAGGCATTGGTGAGTGATTATACGATGAAGAAAGTGGAGAGTGATGGTATGAAGATAGTGGGGATGGCATTGGTGATATCCAGCGCAGATGGGCTGCTCCTGGAGATTCTGACTTTGATCTCCTTACTCTCATATTCACTTTCAGCCTGTATTTTTTTTACACAAATATGCTTCGTTATTACCACAAACTTGTTAAATAAAACAATGCCCAAATCAGCACTTACTTGTTATGAACAGCAACGTATTCGTCAGTCTCATCCAATATCTCTTCCTTCACAAACACCACCAACAAAAACAACAACATTTACGAGGGTCTCAGATTCCATGAGACAATTGTGTTTCTAAAAAATATTGTATATGATGATTAGTTTAAATGAGAGATTATGTAACGATTGTACTAAGAAAATAGTAGGTTGTGAGACTCTATGCACAGTCACTCGAAATACGACATGCAAGTGGTGCTTATCGAGACATGTAAGGGCTGGATAAGTGTCATGATGTGACCGATAAGGACGGTGCATCATCCAACATGCCAAAAAGAATGTGCATAAAAGTCAAGCTAAGACATAAGCAAGATTCGAGGTAACAATGGTGTCAAGAGTGTCAAAGACATGCTCGAAGAGATTCGGTTAATGTCCAAGCCATAACCTCGAAACTTATCATATCATGGAATCTTATCCTCAAGAAAAATTAAACGAACCTGTAAAAGTTCTTCCATGACATCTTCCAGCGTTATGATACCAATAACATCTTCATCAAAATCTGGCATTGATTTTTCATTTGTCTCACTACTTACATTAGAATGAATATTCCTTATCTGCAGCTTAATATATTCCAACTCTGTCTCAGTTCTCGTCGTGGTTTCGAGTTCTGATTCGTTAAAATCCACAGTTTTTGAATCTACAGAGACACGAGATCAGTTTATGTTTTTGATGATTCTGGTAACCAAAATCATGAAGACAAGAAGATGAAACCTGCAGGCTCTCTGGCTTCCTTGTGGCTCTTAATGACAACAGCCATATGACTATGTCCTTGTTGGAACTGGTTCAATATGTCATATAAAGGTAAGTTCTCGTGTACCCTGCATCCAAAATATAACATCAATTCTTCAGCTAAGAAAGCTATAAGGGCTAAGCATCCAACAATTTTACCTTGGAACTTTTCTGATGGTGAGATTTCTGATGGGAGTTTCATCCTGTGGATCAAATTTGATCAGATTTTTAACCTGCACCCAAATGGGGATCTTCATTTAACTGCATGCTAAATTTTGATTGATTTATATTTTGTATATGAATTTAAAGAAAAATTGAAAGGTTACCGACTAGACTATATTTGTGTGTCGATTAGGGAGGACAACAAAGCATTTTTTATAAGGTGTGGAAACTTCTCAACCTGAGGAAGCCCAAAAGGAAAAACCCAAAAATGACAATATATGCGAGCAATGGGCTTAAGCTATTATATAGGGTATCAGAGTCAGACACGAGGCGATGTGTCAGTGAGGAGACTGAGCCACGAAGAGGGGTGGACACGAGGTGGTGTGCTAACAAAGACAATGGTCTCCAAAGGGGTGGATTGGGAGGTCCCACATCGATTGGAGAAGCCGGATCCCGAAGGAGAGTGAATTGTAAGATCCCACACAGTTAGGGGAGAAGAACTAAACATTCTTTCAATTTAACACTTGGAACATACCAAAATAATACCGATGATATTAGTTGGATGTCCCGAGTAGATCGGCACTCGACTATGTCCTTTCCTTAAAATGATCTCCATGGTTTTCCTTGGATTATCCAAAAAGTCAAAAAAACAAGCTTAAAAATCAAATCCATTGAGTTCAATTAACCATAGTTAAGGGCAGAGGCATACTCATCAAGTTTGGAATTTATATCAAGTGAAAACAATTTGGATAAAGGAGTCATAGCATCCTTGGCAGTTTTGAGTGTCATGTCCAAAGCTCCAGTGATTATGGTGGTTTCTTCTTGAGTCAATTCTCCACCTTTGCCTGCCTGAGACACAAATTTTAGTTCAAAGATTTAAAATATTATCCGTTCGATAATCATTTAACTTTTTTTTTTCCATTTACAAAATCGTTATCAAACGGGTCTATTAGTTCTTGTTCACCATTGAAATGTAAAGCATGTTGAACCAACCTTGTTCCCATGCATATCCACAAATGTCTTCAGCTCTGCCCTTCTTAGAAGTGTAGAATGCCCCTTGCCCAGAAGCCAATCTAATGTCTGTCATTCACATTCAGAAGCTCATATCAATTGTTTCTTTTAGGGCAAAAACGCAAGCAATTAGAGTTCGAATCTTCTTTCCTTTCAATCCCTTCTCATATATGACCAAATGAAGAATATGGTATTACCTTACTGATGGGGTAAGCCAAAGGAAAGAGGACTAAGAGAAGCACCCGAACAATGACCGACAGCCTTGCGCCGACGCTCAATCCATACCTTGAGCAAATAGCTTGAGGAATAATCTATGGAGAAAACGAGGCATTCCATCAAGTACCATAGAAGATGAAGAAGGAAGTTTCAGAAAAATTTACCTCTCCGAAAGTTAGTATGAGAGTGACTGATATCACAATGGCTCCCCAAGCTGGGAGAAGGGCATCGATGAAGATGGGCAGAGCCTAAAAATGGAAAGAAAGGGTAAATAAATAAAACACAGTTAAAGTCCTTTCAAAAGAAGGTCTATGAAGTTAAATATTGGATGAAGCAGTACCTCCATTGCCATGGCATTGCTTATGAGGAGCGTGCAAAGAAGCAAATGCTGGTTCTTTACTATGGGCAGAATTTTGGCTACAAGGAATGAAGTTGAATTGTATCAAACAGGACATAAATTGACCAAGTTTTTTCCTTAAATTCTTCCATATGTTTGTGTTCTCCAACAAATGTGAGCAAATTACTAAGTAATGGATGCAAATATCACATAAAAAAGTGCCACAAGTGGGTCAAATTTGTTGAGGATTGTTGGGAGAGGGGTCCTACGTCAAATAATTAAGGGGTTCCTAACATAGTATCAGAGTCATGCTCTCAACTTAATCGTGTTAATAAAATCTTCAAATGTCGAACAAATAAGTTGTGAGTCTCGAATGTGTAGTCAAAAGTGACTCAATGTTGAACAAAGGAGATACTTTGTTCGAGGAGTTGAACCTCGATTAAGTAGAGGTTGTTCGAGGGCTTCATAAGCCTCAAGGGAGACTATATGGTGTACTTTGTTCGAGAGGAGGATGGTTGGGAGACGAGTCTCATATTAGTTAATCAAGAAGTTGATCATGGGTTTAACAAAACTTACCAGCATTTTTGCGGTCGTCGGGCCTGCCAGACTTGGCAAGGACCTCGAGATCGACCAAACTGAGCGACATAAGTCCTAGCGTAAGGCCGGACATAAGACCAGCAAAAGCAACCAAACCCACACATATCAGGAGATACATCCAGAACCTTGGCTCACAGCATGGGACATCACTTGTAGCCATCTCTTTATCGGTTTAATGCAAAGCTCTTGGGACTTGGCGAAACAGAGAAGATTTGAGGTAAAGAGGCAAGAGAATTACGGCTACTAATAGAACTGGGTAAGACACACTATGAATAAGTGTCCAAATAGAACAGAGATTGAGAGGGCCACCTGATCGATACGCTTTCTAACATCAGCAGAAAAAAATTCCAAATTCCAAAATGACAAAGGAGGAGAATCCATGACATGTATAAACAAACTGCCCCCAGCAGACTTGGCCCTTTGAAATTATAAACAATTTGAATAGCCATTACCACCAAATGGCCTTCTAATTTTAAAACAAAGTGGAAGCTGTCGATTATGGAAAATGTACGTGTTGCAATAAGAGATACGTTGTGGGATTCACTTTATGTACTCGTTTCTTAATTCGTAGTGTATTAGTTGTCTTCTGTTTCTTCCTATTTAAACTAATATAAATTTGTGGATGAGGTGAGACTGTCATTTTGAGGGGGAAAAAAAAATAACAACATTATTTTACGAATTTATGAATGATTTTAACCGGCATAAACGAGCATAAATAATTCGAGTATCTTTTATAATGGTGTTAAAACTTCTCCCAAATATATACGTTTTAAACCTGTGAAGTTG